TTTTATTTTTATAATTATTATATTTATTATATTAAATTAGGTTAACTATTAATCTCCCAACATAGAGTAATTGCCATTCTCCTAGTTACCCTGCGTGTCCCTTTTACTTTTATGTGGTTTCGTGTGAAGAAGCAACTCAAAAAGGAGTTTTGCACTCCTGTCCTCCTGTTTTTTTCTGCCAATGTGGTTGGGGTGTCTCAGACTTGTTTATTTCCCTTTTAATGGGACGCGCTTGGCGTGTTTTTATTTTACGCTCGCCACACGCGATGCATACGCAATTTCGACGCCTCAAAATTAGGCTATGAAATTTGTGTGTTTTCCCAGGGAAGGTACCAGAAACTATGCCAGTCAGGCGCGAATCAAACCTCTAAAAAGTAGAAAAACCAATGCAGTACTTTTGTCAAATCAAAAGAGAAAAAATCGAGGGCAATATCCCAGACCTAAAACCAAAAACGAAACCGAACCAAACTCAATTGGGCATGGACAGCGCCGCGCCATGGTGTGTCCAAGTTTTTTTTTCGGTTTTATTTTCATTTGGGGAAACGGGGCCACTTGAATGCGAAATGAAGCTACCGAAAGCGGAGTCAAAAAGCAACAAGGATTCAAAGGACAGAGCGCAGCAAAGTTTTTATTATTTTGCATAAATTCAACGCACCATCCATACATATATATATATGTTTTTTTGTTGCACAATTTAAGCGATTTCCGCGACTATCGCTGGGAGATTTGTTGCCACAGAGTCTCTGCAGCCGAAAGCTGCTCAAAATTCACACAATTCAAACGAAACGAAAGCGGTGGGGCGTTAACAGGGGGAAGGCGGGAAATGGTAGGGATGTGGCCGGAAAATGGAGGGAAAGTGCAACAGTGCCGCACTCGAGCTTATTGTTGACATTTAGCAGAGCCGGCAGGCAGGCAGCCCGCCCACGGAAATGCCCCCGAACCAACCGCAATCCTAGTGTTAATTAAGCTTACAGAACGACAGGACCAGCAGCATAAAGTTGTTAAGTTTTTGTCAAGCCCTCGGCCATCGTTGTCTGTTGTTTTAGCTGCTGGCGGCTTAATTATTTTTATAATTTTTCCCTCTCTTCTCTCCCTGTGCATTTTTATTTTGTCAGATTTTCACATTTTCCGCTCGGTTTTCCGCTCATTCTGCAACGTTGTGTCGAGTGCTGTTGGCTTTTCTGGCCATCTCATTAAATTAAATCAATTAATTTCTTCCCATTAATATTTTTTTTTTTACCTTTTTATTATTATGTTTTAACGTGGCGGGCCGACACTTATTAATTTGCATATGAAATTCAATTGCCACACTTTGTTTTCTTTTTTTTTACATAGTAATAAAGAAACTTGATTGGTGAATTTATTGAATTAAATGTAATTAGTAAAAGGGCTTTGAACCCTGAGGTTTTTAGTTTTCTTTCTTTGACATTCAAACCTTGAATTAATTTTTGCTAATAAAAAACCTAAAAAATTGGCTTTTGAAATAATCATAATAATTACTCACGCTCCATAAATTACTTAATTGCATTGATATAACGATTTTAAATAAAAAACATATATTATTTTAATTACATTATATAAACAATGACTTAATTAATAAAGCCTAGTATTCCTTTTTTTTAGTTCAATTGTTGCCTGATTTTTACAAAATAAATCCATTCCATAAAAGTAAAGCCCACTGATAAAATGTAACTTTGCGTGCCACAGCAAATCTGAGTTGTTGTTTTTTATGTTTGTTTTTGTTTTGATAAGCTGCGAGAAGAACGTATATGTGCATGCATTAAAAACATACATATATACATACATGTGTGTGCATTTGTCTGTGCTTTATTTTATTTTGCTGTTTCATGACTTTCTGCCTTTGGGGGAATTTCTAGTTATATTTGTTTATATTCTGTTGTTGCCATGGGATTTTTTTTCCTCATAAGCCACTAGCTTAGATTATCACAAAAATAAAATTAAAAGAAGGCTTCAACCGCATTAACAACCAATCAGTTTTGGAACATTACTCATACGCCATGTAGTACATATCAAGCAAGTCTAAAAATATAGCCATGGGATATATATTTATGTGTATAAAGCGTTGAGAACGTGGAGCAATTTATACGGCCTAGTTTTCTTGGACAGCAGCTGGCTGTTGAAAGCATTCACAAATTCCCAGTCGAGTGTACAGAAATCTATTTTTCAATTATGTGTGCACACACGCAGGTTTCCCCCGCCCAACAATCCCTCACCTCTGAGAATTCCGCGTCTCAAAAAAATAAATAATAAACATTATCAACTGCCTTATCTCGGCTCTGCTCCTAATTTGCACTCAACCTGCATTGCTTGTTTAGGTCTCTTGACCTTTTTATTTGTATAATCAATTGCCATGGAGAACTGCCCATTTTCTCACGAAGTTTTTGCAAGATATCCGCCTCTCTAAGGCCTGTTGATTGCTTTAATTTCTGCTCAAATATTTATTTCTCGCCCTGTTGTTGACTCTGACACTCTTGTGTAAATATATATGCAAAAACCTTAGGCCAAGGCTAGTGACAAATTAACATGGACCATAATTATATGGGAAATTGATGGGAAAACAAGTGGCTTTACTTGCCACTTTGAGGCTGTAATTGCTTACGTATATATCTGTGCAAAATAATAATTTATGTTTAACTTTGTGCCAGTTTTGACAGTTATTATTTATGTTTATTTTTTTAACAGTTGATTTTTAATTTATTTTATTTACTAGTTTACGTTTTTTAAACTATTTCCCGTTGCTGTCAGTTTTTGTTTATTAATAAATTATAATGTGTGGTTCACATTTCCGTTTAGATTTTAACACGCGATTGTTACGTTGGGTAAATTAAAACCACTTTCATGGAACGAATTGTGTTTTTATTCAAGTAAATTTATATTTTGTTTTTACTAGAAAATCAATTACATCTACTGTGTAAATTCTTTCCATTCTAGGCACTCTTTTCATCACTCCACTTGGCCTTTCTTCAGCTCCTCGGAGCACTTGCACAAATACCCCAAAAAGTTTTTCCAATTAGTTTAATGCATCATTTTGTCATTTCGGCAGCCAGCCAAGGATCCATCCTCCTGCACATATTATATTCATAAATGCACAGCATATATTATATATGTATATAGAAACGAGTATGTGGTATTTTGTTTAGACCAGTGCAAGCCAAGATTCTAACCACTTCATAACACTGCGGACAAAAATGTCTTCACATGCATTGGTTTTTCCTTATTTTTCGGTCATGTTATTTTTTTGCTTTTGTTTTTTTTTTTGTTATTTTTTGTGTAAACAAGAAAATGCTGCAAGAAAAATGCCCAAGAAATATTTCGCTGGCAAAGTTTATTTTTCTTTTGTTTCGTTTTGTTTTAGATTTTTGTGTTGCTTTTGTTGTTTTTTTTTTGTTTTCACTTCTCCTCAGTTGGCTTTTCCTATTTTGTGGCGTAGACAAAACGGCGGCGAGCACGTTTCCGGTTGCGAACGGCAACGGAATTATAACAAGTTGTAAATGAACGGCAAAATTTGATTACTTTCGATGTCAGAAGTCAAAATGAGAATTGCAGAACTAGTTAATTTGAATGGAATCCGAAAGGGCGGAGGGCACAATAAAAATAAATGCCGTTTTGGGGAGATGGAAATAGGAGACAGATATTCAAAAGAGTTTCTAAAATGTTGTCAAAGAAATATTTTATTTATTTATAATTTAAAATAGCTTTCAAAATATTAAAAAAATGTATTTTGTTGTTAAGAATTTATAGAAGTTGAACAAAAATATTAAAACTTGAGTTTTTTAGAATGTAGACACATGGAAATCTGTTAAAATTGTATTTAATTTAAAATTTTTCCTACAAAATTTAATATTATTTATAATAATAAGTAGTAAGTACTGATGCTCCATCAAGAAACTTTTGCATAAAATTAACATTTTACTTTATTCTTTACCAAAACTATCAATGATTTTAAAGACAAAAATTGTGCCTCTTTTTTATTTTAATTTTCCTCGAAAGAAAACTCTACTTCTTAATAATTTCAAATTAACCTTATTTTTTCTTCGTAACTTGGCTAGTATTTTATGGCTAAAATTCCAAGGGCCATAAACAAACTTGACTCAAAATAAATCTTTGGCGAAATTGATCTCTATCGGAATGTATCTCTATCCGTCTCCCCATCGGAACTGACTCGAGGCACGCGAACGCCACTTACGCTGCTGACTGACTCCCACGTACGGAATGCGACGTAAACTGGATTTTCGGCGCGACGGCTACTGCCTGTAACGTAACGCAACGCAACGTTTTAACCGAACCGCACGTGGCGACTGACAAGCGGCAACTGAACTCAACTGCGACTGGAGAAACCTCGACAAGCCAAAAGCACTCGAAGTGAGTGGAGCTTCGAGTGAAATGGGGGCCAGTTGCTTGTTGCCGGCGAAAGAGCAGAGCAAAACAAAGAGCGAAAACTGAGTGACTGAGAGTGGAAGAGGGAAAAACAGAGAGAAAACAGAAAGAGAGAGCGCAACAGGTTGCCTCGGCTGCTGGTCATTTAACCTCGTTAGCTTCTCTGTGGGTCACACGGGGCGTATGTGTAATGCGGCTCATGCAGAGCTCATGTGTGTGTGTGTGTGTGTGGGTGTCATGTATGCGTGTGCTTGCGGCGGCAAATCGCCGACAAATTGTTTAGTAACTATGGCTATGGAGAAGCTGTGACTTGGATTACCAGTTGGGTTTGTTTCTCGCCCTCGTTCTTCCTGTGCTGTGTGTCACACTGCGTATACGCAATTTTCACGCCTTTGGCTTTCCTGCGGCCAAGCAATTTGCACGAATGTGCGTGCCAAGTGCAAAGTTTGCCCATAATTTAGATGTTTTTATGAAAATGCCTGGGTATTTGGTTCAAGGGGTTAACACGGCATTACACTTCTTTGTGAAAGAAAAACATAATTTGTGAGGAAAATACATAGAAAAGTTGAAGGAACTTTTTTATATTTATTTTAAGGGTTTTTGGATTTTTAAGAAGTGAATTATTAAGTATATAAGTCCAGTTCATGAGTTTTCCTTGATAAGGTTACTTGGAGTCTTGAAAATAAGCTCAAATCCTGAATCATTCTTTTGTAGTTGAGTTCAAGTTTCTCCTTGAAAGCGTTACCTCATAAAAAAGCCAATTTAAGCCTTAGGAAATCGTTGGCCTAATTAAAATTCACTTCATTTTTCCTCAAAGCACTTTAGAATTGCATTGCTCACATATAACTAAAATAAACGTTTTGTTTCTTTATTCTAAACCATTGTTTAATCACCTTTGAATCATTTTCTTCTTTCAAGTCGATTTGTATTAAAAATTCCTTAACAAATACAGAAGTTTTTCAATTAAAGTTGACTCAGGCTCTTGAATGGTGTTAAGGAACAAATAAATTTAAACTTTAAACCTCTAAAAAATTTTATTGGCTATTCCGCAGCGTATTCGTCATTACATTCCGATTCAAAGTTTGAAAGTTCTTCCGAGTTATATGTAGATTCACCAGCATCAATTTCTTCTTCACAAGAAACCTCTTCAATAGACGCATCTTTTCCCAAAACATTTAGAATGGTTTCTCTGATATCAGCCTCCGTGATTTGATTTTTGGGCACAGAACCCCTCATCATATTAAACTCGACCGTTGCATTGATTAAATTGCTCAAGATATTTCCGCATACGACTTTCATATATTCAGTTCCCTTAGTGCCGCGTATATCCAGAATGGCCTCGTTGACAGTTACCTTCATTTTCTTTAGCTCCTGGTTAATTTTCTCCACACTGAGCAGATTGGCTCGGGAATGTGCCAAGGCAATGTTAATGCGCGTGGCCAGATTCTGGTGCTCCTCTCGCATATTGCTTGCATTTTCACGGAGACATTCAAGGACTACCGAACGGTAGGCGGGGCTTGAGTTCATCTTCATTTGGAATGTAAAAAATATAATATATTTTTATATATTGGAGTTTAAATTTCTATAATTTCTATTTGGTTTCAGTCTGGAGACTGTACTGAGATTTTGTGCAAACTCTGAAAGAGAGGCGAGATTCAAGGCTTGCTGGGGTGTTGCCATAATTAGATGATTGACATCAATTATAATAATTATCAGAGTAAGCCGATTAGGTGGCTAATGAATTAAACATTATGAGAATTTTCCACCCTGCCCCAAACCTAGGGGCGACAAATCAATGTCACAGGAAACATATAATTATCGTCATTATCCCCATAAAAGCGGCAGCCTCTTCTCATACACTTTTATGGCTAAATCTTTTGCTTCTCTGGAGGCTGCTGCTTGGTGTTGCATTCATAATTGATTGTCCTGTGGGCAAACGTGTCCTTCGGCAGGGTCCTCTCGCCGGATAAGCACTTAAGCTAAATGAAGGCAGATGGCTTAATACTCGTTTGAGTTTGCTGGCAAAGGGATTCCTAATTCCTAAGCCGCTTTCACAATCTCTTTATCTCCTCTTTAACTCCTCTTTATCCCCTCATCCCTTCTGTTTAATTTTTAAATGTGCCAAAGTGTCTGAAAAAATGCTTGGTAATTGGTCAAAGTCCAAGGTTCCTACATTTTTAATGAGAAGCAAATACGTTTTGTCCTAATTGGATTAATTGTCAATGCTGCTGCGGGTTCCGAGCTACTTTGCGGTCTGGGTCAGAGTCACATTACTCTGTCAGCCTTTGCATTGTCAGCGGGTTAAAGGTCAGATTTGCAGATAGCTTTGTGGCAGGCAGAAGGATAGAAAAATAAATAGAAAATCCAAGAACCGAGTAAAAGGAGGTTTTTACTTATTTTTCCTAATTCTTATGTAAATTTAACCTTTATATTAAATGCTATTTAAATTCCTTGTACAAATTCTCTTCAATAACTTGTGTAAAACCATCTTCTAAACTTTGCTTTAACAAATATTAATTACCCTTTGCCACAAATCCAATCAAAAGCAATGTTATTTTAGAATTTAAACCATGGAATTGGTTTCTACATACACGCCGCAAATCATATTCAACTACTTGGATAATTAAAACGAAAGCAAACACAGGCCAGGACCAACCAAAATCATCATTAAATGGCTTCCTTCTAGTTTAATTTCCCTGCAAACATCCCATCTGTCAAATGGTAAATGCCGAATTCTATCAATTTGTCATTCAATCATTTCCTCTGACGCTGCTAAGCCGACTATGCAAATTGAAGTCAAGAGGCATTAAGTCCGATCCCGAAACTAAAACGCAGCTCCATGACACAATTGTCAGGGTTTTATCGGCTTATTCCTATGCATGAGTGCAGGCACTCACACTGCCACACTAATGCCCACACGAACACACACATTGAACACTCACAGGGAGAGGGAGATGGGTCTTATCGCCAAAAGGAAAAAGCTTTGCCAATTTTCCGCAACTTTTTTCTTTAACTTCAACGTTCAACTTATGTGAATATAAATGAATCAGGAAAACTATACTTTATTCTTTAATAGGAAATAAGTCAAGCTGTAGCATTTTTTGCTGTTAAATAAAATTAGGAATTTAATTCACATTTTTTATAAATAAAATTATGTTAGCAAACATTTTTTAAGAATATTCTATAAGAGTATTGACTAAATAGTGTTGTCTTTATTGCCTTTGCATATTTGAAATGTTGAAAATGGAAAATTAAAAGCAATTTTCACACAACAAAGCCCTTAATTGACACTGACTTTAATCCGGAATAAACAAAGGACATGGCTGAGATTTTTCATTCAGGCCAAGTTAAAGTTCAAGCCATACTGTACACATATTTGCAGTAAAAACGGCATTTTTGATAAGAAATAAAAAATAATTGAAAGCAGGAGCTTGATTGATTGGCCGGAATACGGCAGTTAACTAAGGTTCCAGCACCATCCAGCCCCGCTTCACTCCACAAAAACCTCTGGAAATTGATGTGCGGCTGAAAAGGTGATTTATTGCGGGATGGAGCAGGGCAAGGGACACTCTATTTCTCTGTCTGCGTTGTTTGCTTATCAAGTTTCGGTTGGGTTTTCATTATGCGACATATATATTTTGTTGAATTTTATGTTGTAATTCAATCAAGGCGACCTTTTTCAGTATTTCCAGCATAATTGATGACGAGAACTAAATGTTAAAGGTCGCCAAAAAAATAAATAATAAATAAAATAAGGTTGAGATGGGTCAATACTAAAGATGATAGAATATAGAAAACTTAATTGAAATAAAATCAATAGAAATAAATCATAAACGAGAAGGAATTGAGTAGAAGTGTTGTGAAGGGATCTTAACTTAACTTAATAATTTATAATAGTTTAAACTTAAATGTTTCAAAAATACTTAAATTAATCGAAATATTTGAGACACTTTTAATATTTTACTTAAATTTTTATTGTATCTTCTAAATACTTACTCACTCTCTCCCAAATGTATCAATTCTCTTCAAACTCACCTGAAAAAAAAGTAAATTAAAAGGTCTATCAGTATAAATTAACATTTTGTGTATTTCAAGCTCCTTTTCAAAGATCTTTGCTTTCCTTTTCACTTCAATGAAATTTTATAACATAAACCATTTAGCTTAAGTAGCTACTTCCTTTTCAATATGAAATTCCAACAAAAGAGCTTAGATTGGCTGCTGAATATATTTTGGTGGAGAATTTTACACTTGACTGCTTATTTTCCATTAAGAAGATTTTGTTGAGGTAATAAATTAAAGTATGCGTTCGATATCTTTAAGATTGCCTTGAACTTTTTCTCATTATTCTGACTATTAACTGACGCTCGACAGGCTTGAGAGCGCCACTTGCCAATTTTCCCGGAGCAGCTAGACCCAACTATGCCCAACTACTTGCGAAAAAGTTTGTGGCTCGGCACTTTTCCCCGAGGCCATAACACCTATCATTTGCATCTTGTCCCTTGGTTTGCACTGGTTTCCGCTGGCTCTTCCTGCCATTTTCCCCGCAGACTTTTCCCGAGCGACCGCGAAAAGTTCAATTGCATTTTTGGCGGGGTGGCGTCTGTCTACCGGCGTATGTGGCACGTTTCCTGGTGGCTTTGCCACCGCATCACGCATACGCCACGTTGACTAATTAAACTAATCTCCTCGCTTGCCTCGATGGCTGGGCAAACACACCTTGAGCTGAAATTATTCGAAAATCCCCCAACATCCTGCAGGAGCCCTGCACAGAAATGGCTGTATATATATTTCACTTTATTTTTGCGGTATAACTTTTGCTGTGATTTCATTTTTTTTCCACAGCTTTTTTCGCTTAGCAATTTAATTTTTGTTCTTCCCTTATTTCTTTCTCCTCTCCTTTTTTTGTTGGCTTTCCCGCCGTGTTTGCGTAGCTGAAATTGTTTTCCATTTCAGGTTTTCCGCCCGCCCGCGGGGACCGAAAAGCAGGAGCTGGAAGCTGAAAGCTGGATGCCTGGGAGTCGCCACTGCGGCTCCCTGTTGGGTATCCCATTTCAAGTGGCACTGTAGCCGCAACCTGTGCGATGATAACGAGTAAATGCTGCTCAGGGCATTGCGAATTGCATTGGGTTTCCCACAAATTTATGCCGCTTCATTCGGGGATGTTTAAGCGTTGGAATGAGTTTTGGCGACAGCGGCGGATATCGTAAATAATCTGGGCTTTGCTGTGCCCCTATAAATGATCGTTAGCAGGCAGATATTATGTACATTTTCTAGGTCTAGGCTTAGAAGATGGTTATATATTTCTTCTTGGGAAAGTAAAATAAATATGGAAGTAAAAGTTCAACTATAAAAACTACAAGCTAAGTTTGGGTTCATTATTTTAAACTAAAATATGAAAAAAATAATGTATTCTAGAACTAAATTTAAAGCATTCAGTTTAAAATTGTATAAATAAGTTTTATATTAATATTAGATTCCCTTAATATTCTTATAACTTCTCAAACTACCCTACGCATTCAATAGGTATAGCATGCAAATCGATTAATATTAACTACTCGACTTCAAAGGTGACCAATATTGCTCGGGTTTTGGCCAAGTTAGTTCAACTTGGCACACTGGCGAATAACATTCTTGGACCGCAAAAAACGTGATGAAAATGAAACCAAAGGTGAGTTTAATCTTCAACAATATTATCATATAAATATATATATTTATGTATATATATTATAAAAAACAGGTTACTACTGCAATGATGTTACTACTGCCACTGCTTCTCTTATCTACAATAACCACTGTGGAATCCCCATATATCGGGGCTATGTCCAGTAGTTTTCCCACTCAAATTGAATCCCCAATTCAGGACTTACATTCAGAATGTGATAAATACGATACAATCAACGTGTGGTTCAGTAAGCAGTTAAAACTGAGTAATATTCTGGAACAAAACATTTTACATTTGGATACACTGCTAGACGAATCGTGCGATTACAACGAAAAAGATGCCATGCAATCAATATTTGAAAATGTGGAAAAAATTAAATATCTAAACGAAAGCCAATCAAGAGAATTTCCCAAAATGAGCGGCAATCTGGGAAAAGATTTGGATAAAATTTTACCCTGGATCAAGAAGTTAGTACCCAAGGGCTTCAAGAAGCAAAAGTGCTGTGAAGATCTGGAAAATGATCTTAGTGAATTAAAAGAACATCTTCAGGATAAATGGGAGGATCTCAAAAAGAGAATATCAAAAGATATTGCCAAAGAGAATGCCAAAATCAAAGAAAAAATGCAGGAAGAACAAGAAAGCCTAGTAGATGAACTAGAAGACTTACAGAATCGATTAGATTATATTCAAGATGGATCGGGATCTAATTCTAAAGCCAAGTGTTGTGCAAAATTCTATAGAAAAATTAACAGCTTGCAAAATGACGTAAAGAATTTGAACATGGAAGCTAATGAAAATACCCAAGAAGTTGAAGAAAAACTGAAGAAAATTCAAGATAAGCTGGAAAACAGGGCTAAAAAGGCAGCGGAAGTGAATGAAAATCTGCAAAAGCGAGAGAAAAATATTAAAGAAATGGGAGACAAATTTGAAAAGGGATCTAAAGGTTCAGTTTGTTCAGAGCTAGAATTGGAAGAAAGAATTCATGAATTGGAAAAACGAGTTAAAGAACATGCCGATAATATAGATGGCTCAAGAGACCATCTTAATTTAACTCTCTGCCAAGAAAATGGCGAAAAGCTGGCCAAAATTGAATATGAGCTTGAAAAAATATTGCAAAATAAGAACGTTATTAGACAAATGGGAAGGAAAGCCAAAGGAGGCACCACAACTAATAATACAGTTGAATCTCCGCTTGAAACCCACGAAGCTAGCATTAAAAAACTGGCAGAAATCCTTAAAAGCTCCAAGCCTTGCTGTGAAAAAATTGACGATCTTCAGGCCCTCGCCGACAACTTAATGAAATCAATAGATTTGATGAATAACACCTACGATGAGCACATCAAAAAGAGTGCCTCGGACTTGGATGGAATTAAAAGTTTGCTGAAGGATGCTATGGATAATCTTGCAGATAACAAACAAAGCCAAACAAAAGGAGAAGATTTCCAAAATCTATTAAAAAACCTCCAATCGGAGGTAGACAAGGCCAAGGATGACTTAAAAAATATGCAAAATAAACTTAATGAATTGCCAAAGGATAAACCCATAAATTCTGGAAACCATAATTTAAACGATAATTTAAAGGAACAAATGAAAAAATTCAATGAGAACTGGGTAAAAGCGGACAAAAGATTGAGTCTCTTAGAAGAACGGGCTGCGAATAAAAGCTTGGATCATCTAAAAAACATCCTAGAGCCACTTGAACAGGATATAGATAAATTAGAGAAAGAAATCGGGCAGCTAGAAAACACCGAGCAGCACAACAAGGCCAGTTTGGAAAAGTTAAAGAATCTAGAGAATCAAATTACTCCGTGCCGAGACTCCTGCAAAGATCTAGACCAACTGGATGATTTTCTCGACGACATAGAGGATTTGGAACTGTTTCTTAAAGTAAAATTATCAATTACAACGCAACCGACAAAAAGAGTAACAATTAATAGGGCCAGCCCAGAAGATGAAGGGGTAAAAGTAGGTGGGGTAGATTTCCAAAAGCAGATAACGGACCCGACAATAGTATTCGGGCGTTAAGTGTCAAAGAGAGTTTCTTTTTACGGTTCTATGGTACTTCAACTTTTAGAATGGATGAAATATAAAACGAAATTTAATATATAAAAGAGTAATTGATATGTACAATGTATTTCTATAAATATATATAAATATACTTTGAATATGATTTCATTTGTATTTAAAACTTGGTAACAGTTGAGTCCATAATATACTTGAAAATTTAAATTCAAAAACCTATTTAATTAAGAACCTTACTAGCATAGATTTCTGTAAACTTCTTGACCCTCCCCGTATGCCTAATAGACGCAGCATGCAAATCAATTACTTGGCTAGAACTGGGGCCAATAGTGCTGCCTTCTCGACCCTGTTAGTTTTACTAGGCACAGCGGCGTATCAGGTTCGTGGAGTGCAGCAACCTTGATAAAAATGAAACTGAAGGTGAGCTCAGGTGTTGGAGAGAGTCACAGTTTATTCAACAATCGTAATATCAGGTCACAACTACAATAGCGTCACTGCTGCAACTGGCGTTCTTATCTGCAATTAACTCGATGGAATTCAATCCTCTTAATGGATACTCCAATAAAATGAGAGAGTCATCAATGGAAAACTGCCCGGACTATAAAGTTATCAGCAAGTGGTTGGATCTGCAAGATGCTGCTGCCAGTAGTTTAAAAATACATTACAACCACATAGAGGAGGCACTGGAAAGCCTGACTGGTACTTCAACAAATTGCTGTTTCTACGACAAAGATCTCATGCAATCAGTTATGGATAATGTCAAGAAAATTGACCAGCAGAATGGTGATAATGAAAGTAAAACATTAATTCCCAGCGGTAAACTGAGAAAAGATTTAAACAAAATTATTCCCAGGATTAAAAAGTTCGTCACCAAGGGTTTTGAAGATTGCTGTTCAGAAATGGAAGAATCTCTAAAGAAAAACAAAAAAGATTTCTGGAAACAGTTGAAAAATGTCAAAGAGAAATTAAAATCAGAATCAAGCGATGAGCTTTACCAAGACAGAAAAGAGTTGGAGGAAAAACACAAAAAATTGAGGGAAAAAATAATCGATACTAAAGATCGTTTGGATACGTTGGATAATAAAAAAATGAGATCTGGTCACCAAAACCACTGCTGTGCAGAATTATATACAAAAACTAAAGACTGGGAAAATCAAATAAATGCTGCAAGAAATGAAACCATAGAAAAATCCAACCAATTTGAGAGTCAGCTTAAGGATATGGAAATTATGCTATATGCTCTGAAGAATAGAGTCAAGAGTGCCAAGAACACTCTAGAGACTCAAGGAGAAGCTGTGGAAAATGAGCTGGAAAGTTGCGAGCAAGTATTTGAAAAATTAACCAAGACACCAAATAATAATCATATTTGCTGTGAGAATTGTTTGGATAAATTATTAGATAGACTTAAGGAACTTGAAGAAAGCGTCAAGTCTCTTCTTAATAAGCTGGATTCCGTAAAAAGTAATAACTGCCAGGAAAATAACAATAGAATGGCCAAGATCAAGGATCTCACTGACCAATTGGATAACTTAAAATCTGACAATGCCTCTGTAATAAAAATGAAATCAGCTTTACCTAATGCAAATCCAAATGCTCGAATTCACAAACTCGAACAAGAAGTACAAAATTTGCAGCAAGCTGCCAACGACTCCCAGATTTGTTGTGATAAAATTCCCAAAATCAATACCTTTGTCGAGCATTTACAAAGTAAAATTAAACAGATGCAGCAAAGCAACCCGGAAATTTTAAAACAAAACAAATTGGAACTTGAAGATCTTAAAAAACAGTTTAACGAAACTTTGGCTGACATGAAAAATAAGCAAAAGGAATTAGAAAAGCTAAAAGATCTCCAAGCAATGCTGGAAAAGGTCAAGAGTGAATTAAAGGTTCAAGAGGACGAGCTTAATGAATTGATAAATAAAAAGAACAAGAATAATGTAACTGATGATGGGGAGAATACGGTCCAGGAACTCGACCAGTTTTGGGTTAAAGTGGATACACAATTATCTGACCTGGAAGGCCAAAGCTTGAATGAAACAAACCAATATAGTTTGCTAGATGATCTTCAGAAAAGCCTCGATAAAGCCAAGTTAAGGTTAGAAGACATTCGGCAACATGAAAAGCAGGATAATGTTGAGGAGGACAAGCTAAAAGAACTGGAGAATCAATTAGCTTTATGCCTAGACGCTTGCAAGGTAGTGTCCAGGATGCATGAACTCTTTAAAAATGTTAATAATATAATCCAAGTTATTAAATACACAAGCAAGTTGAGGGTTGCAACAACTGATAAAGTCAGTAACATATTAAAGATTCCAAGCAAACCAACGCCTGCTGCAAAGAAGATCATACCAAAGAAACCTGCGCCTAAAACGAAGAAAGGTTAATAACATTAACTTTAGGTTTTTTATTATTAAATTTTGTATTAAACATATCTTGAAAATAAATTGTAATAATTTTGGTTTTACAAAATTTTCTTTTAAAAGAGTTTAGCTGCCAGTTCTCCCTGTCACACTTGTCAGCTTCTGAATTCAGTTCGAGATCATCTACAATGAAACCCACCTGGGATCAAACACCGATGCTTGAGACGGAATCCCCGAAGATCGACGATGCCCTGAAGATTTGTCATTCGATTGAAGACGATCTCGCGGATTGCCTGGCCGTTGTGGAGGGCATGAACCAGAAGTACAATGCCCCCGGACGCTATGTCATTTCCATGCCACCCTTCAACGAAGACTATGTGGTGGCCAGCTCGGGCACCGATAGCTCATCTTTGAATGCTGCCGATTGGGAGCTGGAGATACTCACCCAGCTGTATGGAGCTCGTAGTGCCCAGGAGCTGGATGAATCCTATGTGGATGTGCGCTACAAGTTCATCAAGATGAAATTGGAACTAGATGGCACCTTAATCCATTGCCAGCGTGTGGCAGATACCGCAGACCGTCAGGAGCGCGTGGTTCATTACATGCTGGAGAGCTCCAAGAAGCGCAAGAAAATCCTTTGCAGACATTAGAAAACTACAAAAATATGAAATAATTCCTGACAACTATTCCGTCAAAGTCCGAGAGCGTGCACAAATTGCAAATTGTGTCGACACTTGGCAGCTTTTATTAAAAATTACTGTCACCATTAGCCGACTGGCACAGGGAACTTTCCAGGCAGGACAGGGACTTGGGCTTGGGCAAGAGGGCAACTTTCCAAAACTCATTTGGCCTGACATGAAAATGAGGCAAAGTTTTTATCAGAGTCTCTGTTTTTTTTATACCGTCAGAGCTTGTAGAAATATACAAGGGCATGTTGCAGTCGTGCATAAATAGGTAATACACAGAAAGAAAAAATATGTAAGGAGCTTTGAGAACTTAAGATATATATTTTAGAGTTTATAATGCAATATTTCTATAAAGAAGTCCCTTAAGAAACACCAGATATTTATTACTTATAGAGAAGATAATTATTAAAGAACAAAGGAATAACAAATAGACATGTATCCTTTTTAATCTCAATTTCTTCTAAATTTCCCCTTACTCTTCCAATCACCAGGTATCCTTTAGTCTATCATCTCACCCAGACACATCTTCCTTACTTTTTCCTCTTGTCTTCGCGACACACAAGTTTTTTTCGCCTGACGTTGAGCATGATGATGGTGATAGGACAGTAACAAGTCAGCTGCATGTTTATGTGCACGACAATGGGTAAATACAAATACGGACATGCGAGGAGAGAAGTATAAGTATGAGGGGAAAACATGAGAAATTGCCAGCGCAAAACTTGAGATAATGTAATGCAAAAGTGGCCCAGGACCAGACGCAACTTTTCCATAACGCTGTTTTCTCAACTTTATTCTCTGTTTTTCTTGTTGTTTGTATAACATAATATTTGTGAGCATTTTGTTGCTACCTCACCAAAAAGGGGAATCCCCGGCACTTCGTTAGAGAGAGAAAACAAGGACCTTGTCGTGGCCGGCCAAACTGGACAGCTGCAAGGACATAAAACAGTGAAGTTTTGCATATTTAAAGTAATATCAAGGGGAAAACAAACTTTTCTTTTTCATTATTATTATTTTTGTTTCTTTTTCTGTTTTGTGCTTTATTACCCCAGAGGGGGGAGAGAGAAGTGGAACGAAGTAGAACATTGAATAAAGGCATCATCATCATGAGCCTGGCTTGGGTTCAAAAGGTGTTCATTGAGTGAATGCTGCTGCGGTCACTCCCAAGGCGGCGGGGCAAAGGACCAAGTTCACGCTGGCATAAAGGACTCGAAATGGCTGCAGCTTGAGCCCGGAATTAGTTGAACTTAATTTGGTTTGCTTGCAATAAAGGGCTCCACCTTAAATCGGTTCATTATTTCAATGACTCTCCGGTGCATTCGCCACATAAATTTTGGCTAGCACCATTTCCTGCAGCTCTCCCTCGGCGAATATGACGACGATTCGCCTGAGTTTACGGTTTTGTGATAGGTATTTTTAGAATACAAAGGGTATTTTAGGGTTTTATATAAATTTAAAAATTTTATTGGTTTTTCAACATTTTTAAGATGAAAGAGTCTGCTAAAAAGAAACGTTTATTCACATTTTATTATGTCACAAAAGGGGTTAATCATAGATCAGATTTTAAATCAGAATCCAAATATATAGCACTCCACAAAATCATTAGCTCTGTGTGCAATTTAGTTTACCTTTTAATTAAGAATACAACAAATATTTCATTAAAATATTTTCATCCAAAATCTTTACTTTAATACAATTTACAATGTATATACCAAGTATCCCATATTCGTTGCACTCAACTATATACATATTGTAGTTCCCTTTGGTTATTTATACACAGCTCGTGCTCCTGTGCCCAATGGCGGGGGCCAAGAGCAAACATTCGCCCATTAAACAGCGCTTTATGGGGCCTACGTCTCCGCACGGCCATCGATTGATATGAGTATGAGAATTTATTAGCCCTTTAATGGCCCCAGTCGCAGCAAGTAGCAACAGCAGGAGTAGCAGACCTATCGCAGAATGTGGAATGCTCCCAGGAGCACAAGGCAATACCGAGTGCAGCTGTGAGTGCCCCCGGAAAGCCAGACCCTCTAGCAATTTGTGAAGGACCCTAGGCTGCCGCCTACAAACCAAGCCATTGTGTCTGCCAACTAAAAACAGCGGCCAAAAATCAAAGTCGAAAACGGCTTGAATGGTGTGTGTGTATGCTTGTGTTTGTGTGTGTGGAAGCCCACTTCCGGCCACCATGAGCTCTGGCTAAGTGTATCCGGAGCTTGGCCATTGGCATTTGAGCTGAAGAGCTGGTGGGCTGCCTCAGCAGTTGTTGTTCTTGTTGTCGGGCGGCCATTTATAAAAGATTTGCCAAACAAGTTTGTTTAATTAAGATTTCCTGCGGGCCAGTTGATTGACTTTAAGTGCCAGGAACCTAACCGAATTAATGAGCCACGTCCCAGACCCCCTGGGGGCTGAGCAAGATGAGCTCTCTCCTCCGCCTGGGGAAATTTCATCCGCAAGTCAACGATGAGAATGCGGGAAATGAATGAATAAATATTTGCTAGACCAATTTTAGGGAAAACTCCCCTTTAATGGGTCTACTTATGATTTAATAGAAATCAAAACTAATTAAGTTACTTTGTGTACCCAATAATTATTACAAAATATTCTCTAGATTATTTTCCACTTGACTGGTTTATTAAAGTCCAAGTAAATCCTTATTTGCTAAAGGAATAAAACTATCCCAACATCTGAGCCTTGGCCCCAAAAAGGGATTCCATGTTAACTGAATTAATGACACAAACCAGAGGGAGAAAAATGCCAAAAGTAGACAACAAACAAGAAAAAATTTACCCAGAAAAGGCCGCAGTTCATAAATATGTAGGAATCCAGATGAGAGAAAGAAGAAAAAAAAAAAGGGAAGAAAACACGCTAAGCACTTCCGTATGAATAAATATTTAATCAATCAATTTCGACAATTTTCCGTTTTCGTTTTCGGGGCTCGTCAAATGCATAAACAGAATGGATACAATTTCATTTGCCCCGAATGGATGATGATGATGGTGATGACGATGATGATGGGGCTTTTGTAGCTGTCGTTGAGGCATAAAACAAGTCAGACACATAAAAGTAGATTTGATTGAAATGCTAATTTCCACAGATTACCAGCGGAAAAAGAATGCTCAACTCAACTCGACTCGACTCAACTCGACTCTCTAAAAGATGTCCAGTCATTGGGGACTTTTGTGCCCCCGCGACTTAGTCATCGTCATCATCATCATCATCACCATTATCGTCAGTATCGAAATATCTGTTGAGTGAGGACCAAATGACTGGACACTCTTCCCAGTCGAAACCCATCAGCCGCAGGAGCCTCAGTTTCAGTTTCAATTTCGTTTTCATTTTCAATGCTTTTGATTTTCTGTGAATGCCCCTCGTTTTCACCCAAAAACAGTTTTCCCAGCTGCGATTATCGCCGGGCAACATTATTAGTTTGTCTGTGCTGTCAGTGACAGGTTACACACAGGTTTACATTGAACTTGGGATTTTCCCCCGGCTTATTTTCCCCGGTGCTTTTCCCCATATTCTAAATTGTTTTGAGGTCGCAAAGGGTGACGACGAGAGTGCGTGGAGCAGGCCTGAATTTTGTGGCATTTTGTAATTGAATTTCATTCGATGCTCATATTGAAATTTTAATGAATCGATGACGTCAGGCCAGACTTCAAAGCTTCAAATCGGAAATTAAAAGCTGAAATTTGTGCATTTAACTGGTCTTGGTTTCTTGGTTAAATTGTTGCCATTTGCTTTGTTGAATTATGCAGAAAGAAAGTGATTTTACAAAGGAATTAATTTCTTTTTGTTAAAGTGGATTTAAGTTGCTGAACAATAGCTGTATATAGTTAACAACATATTTTATTTTGCTGAAAACTGTCTTAGCTATGAAAATTCTTATTTGTTTAATTTATAGTAATATAAATGTATATGTAAGCATACTTAAAAATTCGGTTTTGGCATTCAAAGTTTTTAGTTATTCCTATAATTATGTTAAGCCTTTGATTTGGTAACATTGTTAAATTGAATTAAAACTAATCAATGTTTATTTCAACAGTAGATGCATATTTTTCCTCAAAGTTTAATATGTTTCTTTGATTAAATTGAATATTTAAATTAAAACAAATTTCAGTGGCAGGAAACTGTCAACATTATTAGTTTACAATTTCAATAAATTAATAAAGCAATCAAAAACAAAATAATACAATATTAAATCACTATTTTCTTAGTAAAAAAAGTAGCAGATCAAAGCTTTAATTTTTTTACCCATTAAAATGTATCACATTTCCAGCACTTTGTTCTTGAACAACAAAGTGAGAAATCTCGTTTTTTTAATGATATCTTCATCTGCGATATTTGCCTTCTAACTCCCCGTACAAGTTTGGAATTTATCCTGGCACTTGAAGTGAGTTCTGCCAGGCACTCATTCAGTCAGCCGGGTGAGTTCACTCAGTCAACTCGGTTATCTCATACACAATGCGTAGTCGCAACATTGAGGCCAAGTTTACTTGAGCATAAAGCTGAGAGTTTGCGACAAAATGCGACTCCAAGGGACTCCGAGGGACTAAGGAATGAGGGAATCCAGACGCCAGACTCCAGACTCCGGACTGCGTAGTACATTCCCCCGACTATGACAAACTGCCGCAGGATCCGTGGAGCAGCTGCAACATGCCACAGTTGCACCAGCTGGAGTGATAAACGCGCTGCACAATTGCTGCCGCCACTGCCGCCGAGATTTGCCAGCTGACAAAATGCTTCTGACATTTTTGCAAGTTAACAATAAAAATATTTCATATAATTTAACGCTGTTGCTGCATCGCCGTTTTTATGGCAAATTATGTTTGACTTCGTCTAGAGTTTAGCTCTCAGCTTCAGTTTCATGTTCAGTCATAGCTTTTTAGCTTCATTTTCGGTTTCTGCTTTTGACTCTTCAGCTTTTTTGTTACTTCCTTTTTTTGGCAATAAGTCGAGAGCGGCAGCCGACGAACTTGAAGAATGTCCTTCCTTATTTATTGCTTTTAACATATTTGTTTGGCCCCAAGGCAATCTGTCTTTTGTGTGTGTGTGTGTGCGAATGCAAATTTTGCGTCTCAAATTTTCCGACTTTGTCTTTCATTTGGGTTTTCTCATGGCAAAAGTTTCTTGGCCGAAAACAAAGGGGCCCTTGACAAAGTGCAGCTGCCTCAGAATCGCTCGGGGGTTAACATTTTGTGAAGGGCGGTCAATGAAAAGTATATTGTGCCCCGAAAAGAAGTCACAGCGGAAGTTCCTTTTGGCAATTGTGTGTGCGAGTGAGTGTGTGTGTGTGTGTGGGAAAACCCCAAATAAATTGTAAATAGCTCTGGCAAAGTGGCCTGAAATTATGGTGAAAAGGATGCATGTGAGCAGAATGTTATTCTATCCCAATTTTAGGGTATTATTCTAGGCTAAGCTGGAATAAATTATAAGGGTTATTTGTGAAAAGGTAGAACATATTTTTAAGCTATATTTTAAGTGTTTTAAGTACCCATTAATTATAGAAAAAAAAGTATTTTAACTTAGCTGCTTGGCAATTTTTAATTAGCAACAATTCAACTAAACAATGGTCCCGTGAGAATCATCATCTCTGTGTTTTTAGTTTTATTTAAATTAGTTTTGGCTCTGTTCACCGGTTTCAGTCTCATCCCCTCGGAATGGGTTATCGCCTCCGGCCAAGTTATCAGCCGCAGTTGGTACTCCTGGAGGCTGTGAGACTCTGGCCCTGATTTTTTGCTGCAGTTGGGCTAAGGCGGTATTGGCCATGATAATACGTCTGTTGATACGCGTCAGTCGATCCTGTATATTGTTATACTGCTGCTCCGAAAACTGGGCATCTTCGGAGCGATCCAAAGGCACCACAGTAGAATCGACCGCATTGTCCTGACTCACATCCATGGGCTCCCAGCTGAGAGCTTCTTCGAATTCATCGTCAGACATTTTTAGATAAATTATATAAAATTTTTGTTGTTACGAAGTTTGAATTTAATGAATAAACCTCAGAGAGAGATTGTAGTTTAAGCAATGACAAGAAAAACAGAGCCTATTTATTTATTTACTTAAATTTAATTGAAATATATTTGAATATTTATAGCATTTCCCATAAACTTAACGATCAAAGTCTCAAGTCTTAAGAAAATGCAAAATCCCTTAAGCCAGCGCCTCCCACTTGGCGTGTAATCGAGTGTGAAATGTGTCCGGCAGGGTCATAAAATCAGAAATCAATTAAAGCCATTTAAAAGGACGAGACGGCGCAAGGATATGGATGTCGTTGTCGTCGTCGTCGTCGGCAGTCGTTGCCAGGGCACAAGGCAAATAAATCTCTGAAACGAGTCTCTCCTTCTCGCCTTGGAGGATGGCAAGTTGTCCCACGAACGAAATCAAAGTCTATAACTTAACGACTGCAATGAGAATGATGCTGATGACGATGTCGACAATGTGGCACGCCCTCAAGGCCCACCCAACACCAACGCCCACTGGAAAAGCAGAACGCAGAAAAAAAGAGGACCAAGACAAAAGCCGAAAAAGACGGAAATGCAGCATTCATTCTCTCGCCATTTTCCTCGCTCCCTTGCCGCCTTTATTTTCGCCTTCATGTGCTAAATATTTGCCAGTGCCATTTCTTTACTTTTACTCTGGCCTTTGTCGCCAAACTGGATTCCGCTTCCCATACCCATTCCCATTGCCATTGCCATTCTCATACCCCCACGATCCCCATCGTAATAAAGCAATAAATCTGGTGCGGAACGGCTCCTCCTTTATAATAAATTCCTTTACGCACAAAAACACTTACAAATGACTTTTTGTTCAATGGAATAAATGGCATGTCTCTATATATACCGCTGGCATATATTCCTTCGTATATGTATATCCTTTTGCGCTTGCATGTCTATGGCTGCACCCAGAGCCGCAGCACACTCTTGACTTCCTATTTCTTCTGGGATTCGCTGAATCCACTATTGATAATGCCATTTGGCATTTGCCTTGTGGCCGGGCTTTGACTTTTGCGATGTCTTTCACTTTGTGGCTTTTGCTATTGAAAACTCGTTGCGCTGCTAAGTAGGCAACATTTTTCAGCCGGGCCTTGTTTATTTGTTTGTCTCTAGCGCTCTCTTGGCACTTTTTGGCAGAGTTTGAGCTTGAAATAAATTGAATTTTGGTAGGGGAGAAACTAATGTAGAAATCACACGAAAAGAGGGCTTTATCTGGCTGTGATATCTGTCCTTGGTAGTGGGAAATATACTGGTGGGGAGACACTACGGAAAAGGAAGTAACTTGAAAAATAGTTTTTGAGATTAAATAACAAAGCAATTTAAATGGATTCACAAAGAAAGGGTTTTTCTGACCTTGAAAAAAAAAATTATTTGGCATTAAAACTACTTAAATTATGAAAAAATTTTAATACACTTAATTAGTAAATAAATATCAGAAACTCTTAGACCATATAGAAGACTTTTTTATACCCTTCCGAGGCATGTTATTCAGAAGCTTGCAAAGCAATACAGGAGTCCGAATATAATAAAAACCTAGTCCTTAAATATAATATTCTAATAAATTTCCCCACTTCGACCATTAAACTTAACGCCCTTCGATCAATCTAAATTAGTGCGATGTCGAATTACCAGGGAATAACCCTCTTTGAATCCCCACTCATTTCTTATGCCACTCAGAGACCGAGCTGTTGCCTAATCCTCTGTCCAAATCACTTGGCAACATGTTGCTCCCTCCGCCACCAACGCAGACAACTAATTGATGATCTAATTGAATGTTCCGAGACCATTTCACAGTGCTCTTCCGGTTCCTGTTCCACACATCTACATATACATATATCATGAACCCATATCCCGTAGCGTGGCGAAGCATCTGTCAGAGCCATCACAATAAATAACCATATAGTTATAGTTGAGTTTCCTGCATTAAAATGCCATCATGCTGGAGATTAATGCGAAAAGGTCACGCCCAGCTCCTCAGAGGAGGTGAAAGCCATTCACTTTGCTGAGACATTGACATTTGCTGTTGCTGTTGGCTTTTCCTTTACTTTCCGTTGCCGTTGCCGTCTTTCCTTTCCCTGCCGTTTGTCATTTTCCTTTGTTTTTGTTTCGTGTCCTGCTGCCTCACATTTGTTTGTTGTTGTTGCTATTGTTGTTGCTGCTGCCGCAGGACGACGCGCCAGATGAGACACGTGACAATGTCGGGGCAAACATAAATGCCGTGTGTCAACATGCAGGTCGCAAAAAGAACTAAAGTGAAAATGTCTTTTTATCAACTTTCGGGAGAGGTTCTGACATGTGCACAGTGGGAAAAATTTGGTTAAAAATTATTACGAAATATGAGTGTAAGTATTAAAAGTACCTTAAAAATATAGAAAAGAAATTGTAATTGAAAAATATAAGAAATTTTGTGGTAGTTTCTAGAATTCTACAACAAAAAATTACATTAAATATTTACAAAATATCCTTACATTATTTAATGTATTTTATGAACCTCAACATAAAGATTTTCCTATTTACTAATTTCTTATAAAACATTTTTAATATATTTATGCATTTCTAGTTCTTACATTTTCCTCCCTGCATTTGTGTTCACTTTCCTTCCTAACTTTTAGGTAGGTTTTTTGTTTTTAGTTTTTACATTTGTCTTAATTAGGGGAGGTGTCGGTCTAAGGGATAGAAGCCACTTGAAGAAATGTGCTTGAAGGGCCATCAGCTGCCGCTGGCACTTGGCACTGACTTGTCTGACTTTCTCCTGTCTTTCTCTGCTCTGCTCTCTCTCTACTTTCTCCTGCGCTGTTTGGGGGAACACGTGTGCGACTTAATGGCAACACTTTCGCATCCTCAGAGTCCTCGTATATGCTGCTCATGTCTGTCTGTAATTTATATGGCTGCTTGAGTGCCGCACAACACTCCTTCTCTTCCTACAGCCTAGGAAAATTTGTTATTACGTTGAATTAAACTTGAAAAATGTGTTAATGGGCTTTGTTCTGCTCGGCACCAACTGCGTCTTCCGACCAAAGGCAACTTAATTAAATTCCACAATGAATTTGTTATTTCGCCATGTAGCAACAAGGCATCTTCTTGCCTAACTACGGTTTGCAAAAGATCCTAGCACCACATGGCGTATGTGTGATATTCGCCCTGCTATTTCCTTTAAACGCTTGCAGCTTCAGTGCCTGACTTCCAACTTTCTGTGTTTTTCCTGGTTTTCCCCATTTAATTTGCCAGCCCTAATGAGCTGTGAAAAGTGTTTTGTGCGAAAATTGGTAAATTGTGGCAGTTGAAGCAAACTGTGTGAGAAAATAATGATGATTCCGAAATAAGTTTTCAAGTCATGGGTGCAGGCAGCTAAGGAAATTATAGGGGATCCTTTTCTGGGACTAAAAGATTATTAAAGTAAGGAATAGTTACTTGGATATTGACTTTAAATAATTAACCTTTAAATAATTATATTTATTTTCCTAATACTTTCCCTTAAACACTCTCCAATTTTCACTTAAATGGACAGCAACTTAAAAGACTTTCACCCCAAAAAATATCCCCGTGTGTTTATCATTTCTTTTTCATTGAAATTTATTCGAGGCTTAACTTTTTAACTGTGTCGACATGAAAATGGTTTTACTGGTAATTAAAAATAAAACCTGCAGATTTATGTGGAACGGAAGAAACAAAAAAACCAGGGAAAATCTTTCAGTGACCAACATGGGCGAGTACAACGACAGTCGTCCGTTCCCTGAGAGTTGCATTCAGCCGGGTGGGTGACTTGTTGCCGGAAAAGCTGTAAGCTGTAAGCCGAGTTAACTTTAATCAGATGGCAATTAGCAGGGAAAGGAGCCAGCTGAATGACATCGAAAGTGGAAAAGCGTAGCTTATAGGGGGGAAAAAACTGTTAAGCGGGGTGTGTCTTTCACTTTAAATTTTCATCAGAATCGTGATTTTCAACCTTGGCACTCATGAATCGCTGAGGGGAAAAAGTGTGGCCTTTGGGTTATTGCATTTTTCAAGTGTGGCCAAGTGCAACAATTATTTATTGCTGACCAGAAGAACACAGCCAAGGACAAGCGTTCTCCGGTTCGGTTATAAATATGTTGGGGTTTAAAGTATTTCGCACACGGCATTTTACACATATTAAAAAGTTGGCAATTTTCCTGCCCCCAAGGTGGTTGAATTTTCCCACCCAAAAAAAAAAAAAAAACCCCAAACACAAAACTTGGCCGCATTGCACATGGGAAAATGCGCTCAATTTGCATTTGAATTTTGTGTGTTCCCATTTCCATGTATTTGTGTTGATGGAAACTTTTCTAAGAGATGATAAAAAGGGTGTGGTTCTGGCCGGGATGATCATCACGGATGCTGGAACGTGCGTTTGTGTAAATGAGCTGAAAAAAATGTGGGTTTTCTTTTTTTGTCAGCCTTTTTCTCTGTTGGTTTTTGCGTAGTTTTTTCTATTTTTTAGGTTGGGGAAGAGTTTTCCCTTTTGTTTGTTTGGAAAGTCTAACATCAACACATGGTAATTTGTTTTCTTTTTTTTCCTTCGTTCTTTTTCATTTTCCTGTTTGTTTTCCCTGTTGAATGTCATCGAACACCAGAGAGCCGAAAAAGGAGTTTTGCTGATACAATTTCGGATTGTTTACCTTGGCGTCTTCAAACGTTTGCCTGGCTGAGAAATTGGTTCCTTGTGGGTGGAATAAGCATCCTCGAAGCTTTGCTTGAGCTGCGAGTAAGCCCTGGTATTATAATAATTTGTTCTTTGAAAATCCACCCGCACCTAATTTGCTGAAAAATAATTCACTTTCCCTTTACAGCCGGCTGCCCAGGGGGGTTTTAGACATTTAAATTGAATGGAAAGTTTTACGTTGACAGCCGCCGAGTCCTTGTCTGATAATTTATCATCATAGTCCTGGGCGAAAACTTTCATTAGGAAAAAACGAGGAGGTCGCCAGGCCAGGCACGCACTTTCCGAAAACTGCCCAAAACTTGTGAGTTTTCATCTTTCGCCCTTGTGACTTTTCTATGTGCCTGTCTGAACTTTGACTTCAACATACAAAATATATATGTATAATATATATGTATGGTTATATGTTTTTATTCTTTGGCGAGCAGGACGACACTTTATCATGTCTCTGCCGGTGACCGGGCCCGGGTGCCGAGAAGTGGGCCCAGCTTGCCCGGAGCGCCCAAATTGAAATGTGCCAGCGTCAGTCAGGGTAAATGAGGCAAAACGCAGCCGCAGACCCGGCGGGACGTAATTGTGTGCCCCGAATCCTACGACAACACAAATTCCCCTCCTCAGCCTCTCAATCCTCCCAATACATCCCACAATCGGGATGGCCTATTAGGGCTCGAAGAGGACAAAAAAAAAAAAGGAAGTAAAAATCTCGATTTTCAACTTTTCCCCTCGGGTTGTGTTGTATTTGACTTTGGTTTGTCTGTGCTTGACAAATATTTAGCCAAAGTGATTTTTGACAGCGCCGTAATAAAGGCTGCCCGAGCGCCCAAGGAATACTTCATGCTTCGTTTGAGCGTAATTTGCGATTGACCCGGCAGCAAGGACCATGCGGCGTATGCGCAATTTGGTAGCAAAACAAGCCCAAAGTGCCGACAATTGAATTGGAATTGCGGCCAAATTCGAGTAATGCTCTAGCGTCAAAATATTTTCTCAGGATTTGCGTCTAACGGAGCTTGGGGGGTCAGTGAATTAAATTAATTTTGAACATATCTGGGATAGAACGATTCACGTTTGATGGGTACTTGAGTATTCTGTTGCAAGTATCTAGCTTTATATTTTAGAATGAATTACAAATTTGTATAGTTGTATAGTTCCTTAAATGTTAAGGACTATATGCAAAATCTATAAAATTTAATAAAACAAATTTGATAAGTTTAAGTTTTTATATTGATCATTTATTCCCGAATATTCTGGTGCAAGTACCTAAATAGCTTTTTTCTTCCGTTTTTACTAGCTTTTGTAGGAAATATTGTTATTAAATTATTTATATATTTATTTTTTATAATATTTTATTAAATCTATAAATTAAATAAAACAAATTTGTTAAGTTCACTGTAAATTTTGATAATTTATTCCTAAACTTTTACAATACTTGCTATACTATAATTGTTACTGTTGTGCTTGTGTGTTAAAGGTACTGATACAGATATACCCTGATACATAGATATAGATATAGATATAGATATAGTATTTATAATTGTAATATTACTGCGGTGTTACTGATATAGATAAATAGATATAGTGGCGCTGGTGTAAACGTTTTGTTAATGTCCAATGAAAATGATCTAAATTCGTATTTATAATTGTAATATTGTTAATATTAATATTGTCTTGTTAATGTCCAATGAAAATGATCTAAATTCGTATTTATAATTGTAATATTGTTAATATTGTATTGCTTAAATTACCAACGATGATGAAGACGACCTTTGTGTTAGTGTTGCCTTCCTTTTTTGTTTTAAATGTAATGTAGGGTTGATTAGAGGATAGGTGTTATGTTTTCCATGTTAGTTGTCTTGTTTTAATGTGGGGCTGCTGATATATCTTCCGTGGTCAGGTGAAGGGCATCGAATATATATAATCCGGGCTGCCAGTGCTGTAGTTTTTGTAATTAAATATTTAAAATTCTAATATTGTAAATTCAATTAACTTACTAAAATCGTTCTGCTGTGGGAATCTTGTAATGCTGTTCATGGTTGTTAAATCTGGTTTTTATACGATTATAGAGAACATATCATGTGACAGGTATGGATATCCCCGTAGAGTAGCTTTGACTTTTGTAAGATTTTAATTTACAATTTGAATATTGTTACTGCAGTTAAACTTACTTGGAATATGGTATACTGTGGGAATTGTGTAAAGGAAACTAGTCTTCATGTTGACTTGGATGTGATCAGGAGAAGAGTATTGGGATAGCTTAGGTCCAATCACTTGAATGGATCAATAATGGTTCTCAACCGTTTAACTAACTTTTTTTTCTTAAAAATTAACGTAATCTAGCTCCCTTCTGAGCCTCAGAGTAAGCCTGAGCTTTCTCTGTTCGCTGTCGTACTTGGCTTGGCACCTATCCACATCCACAGGATGAGGCAGTGGCAACCTCAGCCGGTACAAGCTGGTGCCCAGATCCACTTCCGTTTCCTGAAGACTCAGCGACATTTTATCAGAGGTCATAGCTTCATCCGGCAGCGAGATCTCCAGTATGAGATCTTCACAGCTGGCCGAAGAGCCCGTCCGATTTCCCATCTACAAGAGTTATTACTAATCAGAAATGTTATGTAAATATAGGTGGAAGATTTTCACCTGCAGAAAGACATCTTCTGTGCCCACTGCCTGGCGATAGGTCATCGTATACTCTGGCGTCTTTCGGGATTCGAGTATGTCATTGTCTTCACGTTCCTGCTGCTGTTGCCATTCTTCCAGGCTCTCCGGCAGCTTCTTTTGCTCCTCCACCAAAGGTGTGGCATAAGGATTTGGCTTCTTTTTACTCTTTGCCTTGCCAGAGGCACCTGGGGTCTTGGAGGGACCAATGCCACCAGGAGCTGGCAACAAATAAATATTTAATCGATTCCCCAAGAAGAGAAAAGATTCTTTCTACTCACTCATCTTGTGAACCACCATGGACTCGTCCTCATCTTCACTACTGCTGTAGTCGACCCCGGGTCTCCTTTGGTTGGGATTTAGCAGATTTTGCAGCTGCCGCAGCTGCTCGGGATTGTCGAAGATCGACATTTTTGCGAGGCGGGTTGAAGGCACTGATAAATTAAAAATCACTAGGTTTTCCTTACTACTTTTTTTCTTTTTCTTAGATTTGGAAAAGTAATTTTCAACACTTTAACTGATGCTTGCGTCTGGCTAGCTCGGCTGGTTTCGAATGAATGAGGATTTCGTAATACAACGTCTAGCACACAAAGCTGACAGCTGCTTAGATTGGATTTCCTAGACTACTAGATTGATATATTGACGATTTCCAAGGTCTACGCTACACACAAAAAAAACTAGGATTGGAAATGGTAAAGTATATAGTAATATTTGCATAATATATACAATTTTTCTTGCTTAACTTTTAAAACAAGGAACACAAACATTCTACAAAGTATTATGTGATTAATTTTCTGCCAAATATAAATGCTGCTACCTTGGGAATCCCATAATTAATTAGTTTTCCAAGTGTAGTTGATTGTTTATTTTGTTGCCTTGGCAACTTGGCTTTGCATTTCCCAGGTAACATGGAAAATTCTAGAGAGCTGCTCTTTTCCCTGCAGTCTAAGGTCCACGCAGGGTTGAAGGGTTTTCAGGAGCTTCAGGGGCTCCAGGGCGGTGTCCCCATTCCAATTTACCTTTACCCTATTCAACAACATTTTCCCCGCCTTTGGCGACAATTCACTTTCCACTGGCATGGAAAACTATGAGGTCCCACTTTAGGCATTTCAATTAAAAACTTGGGCGCGCTGGACTGGGCCGAACTACCAAACCCATTTTAGTGGGAAACTTTTTGCCCGAAAGCGAGAACAGGGCTCGAACAAAAATATTTCAGTTGTCAGAAACAATTGTTTTGTGAATTATAAATTGTGTAATTATGGTTCTAGGCTTGACCTTCCGTTTCGGTCAGGGCCAGTGCGAATTATGAACAGCCAACAACGGCGAACAGTACAGAAAATTTGCATTTTTCACGCGAAACAGAAGGGACGGGAAGCGCTAATTTGACTTTCTGGCAAAATCTGGGGAAGGGGGAGTCAAGGGGAGGGCCGAGTTAACAACACGGTTCTGGCCGGGCAAAGTCGTGGCTCAGTTACAATGGCCACGACCACAGCGGGGTCCCAGTTTGGCATTCGACAGAAAGGATTTGCAGCTTCCAGTTTTCGGTGTTCACTGGTCTGGGCCGTGGCTACGTGTTTAATTTGTGAAACACGAACTGTTGAAGCACAGAACAAAAAATGTATAAGCCCAGTTTTTCATTCGAAAAGGAATTTCGCCACTTGTTCCGGCTCAATGGCAAGCACTTGACAGGCGACCCAGGTCTATGGGTCCAAGGATCCTGGCTTTGTCATTTGCAGCTTGGGTGAGCTTGAGGTAGCTTTATGCCAAGAAAAACACATCAATGTATATATACATATTATATTTAAATTTATTTAAGAATCCCATTTGGGTTGTTCGTTCTATGAAGTAAATAAAAGAGGAGATTTCTTAGTTAACTAATATTAATTTGTCTTAAAAGCCGAATTTATAGAATTTTAATATAGAATATTCATATTTTAAATAGCTAAGCTTTTTTTTATAATTAATGAGCTTATTTAAGGGATTAAACTTTATGAAAAGTAATCATATTTGTTTAGAAAATGAGCTATTCCATGCTTCAAAACTCACTAAAAATTTTTAAGCACTTTATTTTATATTTATTTCATTTCTGCCCCGAGTTAAATATAAATAATTAAGCTAGCTTCTTAGTTAAAATTCACTTAAAAACTGACAAGTTTAATATATTATACATCCACAATTTTCAGAGCTCAATTTTCCCCCAAAAACCATTTTTAATTTAAATCCTCACACAAAACAAAAAGTCCAAATTGAAATCTGTTGCCATCGAAAGCAACGCAAACATCACGTAACTGAACTTTCACCTTGGGCCCGCCATGCAATCCAACTATCGCTGTCATCGGAGGGTATTGGGGCGCATTGGAATGCACCCCAGGACACGAGTCCTGTCCCCCCCGTGGCTCTCTTCCCAGCTGACGTCACGCATCCAGACAATGAACATGAATCCATGGTGTAATTGTATTTTGCCTGTCGCACACATTTCAATGAACTGCAAGGGGGACAACAACAAAAAAATGTCGGGAGCCCCATCCGGAAAAAAAAAGCCCCGCAAATTTGTGTTGACTGAATACACAAGAACGGAAAGTCTGTCCCCCGGACTCTCCAGGAGCTCCTCCCAAACCCCCCTTTTATCCCTAAGCCCAAGGCCATTGCCAAATAGATTTTTGTTTCAGTCGCATATGATGGGCATAAGAGAGAGAGAGGAGTGTGACGAAGGGGGAAAAGCGGGACAGCAGCTGCACCGAAAAAGTGAAAGTGAAAGCGTTTTCCGCATTGTGTTGGCAGCTGGGACGTGTCCTTCCGCCTGTTTCGGCCCCCCCAGGAAAAGGAATGTGATTTGTGTGCCAGCATCCTATTCTCCTTTTCCCTCTTCCTTGTCTGCTGTTTTTCAGCAAGATATTATTATTTTTCGGTTGTAACATAAAATGTAATTAAGAAGGCATTAAGTAGCGTGCATAAATCATTGGGGCCACATGTGTGGACGGGCCAAGGCACCACCTGGCAGGGGGTTCGAGATGCCAGAGAGATGGTTAGTGGTCTGGTTTGGGCAGGATTCTGGGTTCTAGGTTCTAGGAAACTGAAAACTGGAGTTATGTAAGAGGGGAGATGGAAGAAAAGAGCCTGTTAGTTGGAAGGAGCTAGCAGGGGCCAAGTTCCGGTCATAGATCTGGGTCTACTGATTGCATTCGCCTTTTTTTTACTTCCTCTGGCGACACTGCGGCGCACAATTTTTGGCCATTTATTTATATATTCCTTTTTTTCGCTCATTTTATTTTGGTGAACACAGCTGCAAAATGCTTATAGAAAAGCACTGCGAAAAAATATTATTAAATATAAGAATTATTTTTAATATACTTGAAAAGAGAGCCTTTTCCTATTAACATTATTACTAATATATATTATTATATTTATTTTGGATATTTTTTTGTACTTCTACATAAAAGTATACTCTACACTTAATCATTTTCATTAAAAAAAAGTCTAGTTTAACCGAATTACAATTTGTATAAAGATAACACACTTTGTCTTCCCATTTCCCTTTGTGTATCCTTAAAAAAGAATGCGCCTAGCTGAATAATTCGCAAAAAATAAAAACGAAAAAAAATAGGAGCATGGCCACAGAGCCAAAATGGGAAAACAGGATGAACAGGATGTGCAGTCAAGCGAGACAGGAGCAGCGGCGTAAAAATAAAACTAACATGGCATACGGTGCGGCTAAGCAATGACAACAAACCAACAAACAAGCAACCTAGCAAACAGACACGGGCCAAAAAAAAAAGGCGCCGCTACTTTAAGCCGTGGCTACTTTAAAGTCCACTGGACCACGAAATGGTAGCCAACGCAACGTGACAATACAAAAAGAGAAAAATGGAAAATATATATGGGAAATCCCAGAAGAACGCAGCTTAACAGAGTTAAGCCAAAATCCTCGCAAGACTAAAACTGGACCAGCAACCAGATTTAAGTCGCTTAGTGGGGGACAATGCTGAGATTTTGAGTGGAACGGAAAGCCAACTGGGAGAATCACTCGAGAGAGCCAAGAGACTAGTAATTGAGAATTTGAGACTCCGAGGGAGAGAATGGGGCAGCTTTTCGCCGGCTGTTTGTAAACAAAGTGAAAGCTTTTCCAACAGCTGTTAGGCGGCATGTGGAATACAGTGGGACAAATAGGTAATTTAGGAAATTTAAATGAAACAAGAAAGAAAAGTAACCCTCAAGACGCCTTAAAATATTCTTTAAATATTTTATTTTATACATTTTTTATGATTATATTTAGGCCGAACCAAAGTTAAATTTGGTAAACTCTTCTGAATTTGTTTTTATTAGGTTTAAATGTTCGGCATTTAAAATAAAAAAAAAAAAAATTAAATTATTCATTCATTTTTGACAATTTTAAAATTTTGTAACAAATTAAATTAAATTTATTAGATCGGTTTTTGATGTATAGATGACATATAAGGTTGGAAATGAAAATATATGCAAAATATGTAAAGTGTATATAAAATATAAACCACTTTTTGATTGATTTAAATTTAAATCTAAATCTACAATCAATGTTTCACAAATTCCAATAAATTTTTAAATTGACTACACATCATAAAATGAAATTATAAATGTAAATAATACTATAATATAATAAAACCCCCACAAATTAATTGGTTTAACAGACAAACGAAAGTGAAACCATATGTCCCAGAAACAGAGCATGGCGTCCAGTAACCCCATTGTGAAATGACTCCTCATTAAGTAGTTATAAAAAAACCACTACACCCCACCACCCCACCAACCAGCCTCACCACACCACAGCGATTAATGCAATTATCTAATATACCGAGGGAACTAGATAAAATTTAATGCAAATTAGCCGGGCCAGTGAACGAAATCGAAAACGAAATTGATACAAAATGAATTTGAAAATGGAATGTTTAGAGTTTATAGTTTTTCACGCGACAGTTCGTGCTGAGAATGAACCAATTTCGGAGCTAAATCAATGCCTGATAAACTCGCACACGTAACTGTAGTTTTTGGGGAAAGACCTGATGGGAATACCAAAAATCAACTGAGAGCGAAAATCAAAATGGAAAGCAGGTAATTTAAACCTTTTACTGCAACTCCGAGGAAGATGAAAGCTCTTTAAATATAAGGTAGAAAATATGTGAACAGGTCTTAAATTGTTACAATTTATGCATATCAAGAAAGTATGTGTAATTTATTGGTTGTAAAAATGGAGTAAGTATGAAGAAGAATATATAAAATTTTTATAAAATTTAAATTAAAGTCAATGATATTTTAAATATATTTTTAAAAGGAAATATTTCAAATTTCCATTACAAAAACCACCTACCTTCTTCCTAGCCGCCCGACGTCTCTGCTCTGAGGTTTTCCGCTGCCACTTGCGTCGGTCCGCCTCGTTGGCAAACAGATCCTCCACACTGCTGCTGCTGCTGGGCTCTCCATCCTCGCCAGAGCTGTCCGTGGAACTGGAGGCATTACGTCCCAGCTCCGCGTCTCTCTGTCGCAGCTTGCGATAGTTTCCCGAGGAATCATCGCTGCTGAGGAAACGCTCTCGGAATGCCTTGTACAAACCCGCACTGACACTGCCAATGCTGCCACGACCATGGACACCAGCGGCGGCAGCACTACGTCCGGCATAGCTGCTCCTTCGCTTCTGCCTTGCTCCAGGCCTTGAGTTTGGTTCTGGGTTCTCGTTGAGACTCTGGAGAGCTGCATTTATGTCCAGCCAGCCGGCGGCACTCATCCTTGCTTGGCTACTCCCGGTAATGCTCGTTAATCTCGGTGATGCAATGATTGTCGTCACGGATTCAAAGCGCTGCCTCGCATGTCAGGTGGATCGCTTTCTGGTCCCCTGGTTCTGGTGGCTAACCTTTCGCCCCCTCCGCCTCCTCCGGTGGTGTCTCAGTTCGCTTCCCTCCAATTAACAATTACGAGTGCCGGTGGTGTCTGCCTGCCGCACCGAAAAGAAACAATCAGAGTTTGAAATTAGAAAATTAGAAGAGGGAAAATTTGCATGCTTTCAATTAATAAGGAAAAAACCCCATTCAGTCTGCCCATCAAAAGCAAAGTTTTCCTTCACTCTTTTTTCGGCACGGATTGTTGACTTTTGATTAGGAGAGTGAGTGAGTGAGCGATTTTCCCATATGGAAATGAAGAAAATTGCACTACGGGTTTTTGTGGGGAGGCAAAGGGATAAGGTGTGTCCAAATGGTTTGGAAAATTGTTATTCAAGGAAGATTGCTTGGGTGCATTCATGAATTTTAAGTGGAATTCCAAGCTGAGTTGGGTATTTACATATAAGAAAAGCTAAAAATGTATAAAGATTTAATTTTAAATAATCAAAAGTTACATAGTTAAAGTAAACTGATATGCCAGTCATAATTTTCTACATTTTTCAATCCACTTAGCTGAAAATGCATTTCCATTTCGCACATCACATTCATTTTAACAGACATTAATCGATTTAATGACAATTAAGCGATTAATATTCACAAATGAAATGAATGTCAGGCGACACTCGATACATTACCAAATCTCGTAATGTGTTTAAATGATTTGACGGGGCGACATTTTTAATGAATTTCCATTTAACTTAATTGGGTCATCCCATCATCGGTGGTCGGTGTCGAGTTCAGTGGCTGCACATTTAAAGTAATTTAAATTAAACTTCAACTTGGTGAACAAATGCAAAAACATAAATTATCTGATTCTCTCTGTCTTTTTTTTTTGTTAATTCATGCAGCGGTAAATGAACATGAAAATGCGAAAACTCAGTTTTCCCTCTCTCTTTCCTCTGGGCAAGTGAAAAGGCGTCGGTAAAGATGAAAGGGTGGCAATGATGAAAAACTAAAGTGAAATACCACGAGCCTACCACTGAGTGGCCGAGTGTGTGTGTCTGTGTGTGGGCTTATAGCTGCACATCATTCCGATCAGAAATATATAATTTAAATCTCTCTTTCGCCCACTTAACATTTTAAGTTCATATTTGCCGATCCTAAAGGATGTTTGTGTTGGCTGTTGGGAGTGAACTCTGGTTTCCACTTCCAGTTTGTAAGCTATTGAGCTATTAGAAAAATATTTGCTAAAAGTGCACTGAGAGGAATATTAATGTTTAACAGAGTTACTAATAAAATGAATTAAATTGGGAAAATATTCAGGCTATTTTAAAGCCTTATTAACCTAATTTAAATATTTATTTTATATCAATCACTTAGGTAATAAGAACCTATATTTTCCTATTCCAAATAAAACTCTCAAAGAACTCAAGGCTTTTATTTGCTTTATTGATTAGCCAATTTCCTCCAAGTCAGCTTTCTTATTCAAAGATTAAACTGATTATCTGTGTGGCAAATGCCTAAATCAATTCCCATCATTGATTGTAATTTTTACGGTGTATTGACGTTTCGAGCATAATAAACAAACGTTAAACAGACGATGTCGGCGACAGAAGAAAAGAGGCAGAATCGAGAAGAACTCCCCAACGCACACACTTCATTGGTAACGAAAAAAATACAACAAAAAAAAGAAAGAAACAAGCCCAGCCAAAGCAAACTGTCACATTAGCATATTAGGAACTCTGGGGAGCCTACAAAAATACGCCTGCCCTCAACGTTCTTGCTTGGCCCACTCTCTGCACTTTGAGAAAAATCTTGAGCCGTTTTTATTAAATTTCTGGAAATTTAATATTACTTTTTAAATAGCAGCTGTGGTTACGATTGCTACCCAAACCAAAAAACCAATTGCTATCACAAATTTTGTATGGTTCTTAACCCCACATATGAACCAGAACCCTTTGGGAATTTTAAGAGTCGATGCGATGAGCAAAGGCAAACCCCAAAAATCTACCACAGTTCTTTTTGTTAAATACATTAAATACCTATGGTTGCATATGGTTTTTAGGGGCTTATTTTAATTTATTAATCAAATATCAAATCAATATTGATATTTGTGTTTTCTTTCAGTGTTTTCCTCTCTGCGTTCTGTTCTGCCCGCGTCACTGCCAACGCACGCAGCGGCGCTGCGCATGCGCAACTTTCTTTGCTCAACGAGCGCCTGCGTCTGCGTCGGCGTCTGCTGCTGCGTCTGCGTCGACGCCTCTGCTACGGTTCGGGCCTTGGCAATGGAAATGGCTTTTGGCTGTAAGCATGTGGCTTTGGCTTTGGCTCTTGGCACCGTCGCTCTTCGGCGCCGTATCAGTCGGCTTGCAGACTTTCGCGTGTGCGGCGGTGCGAACTAGCTTATAGCCACGATTTGGAGCGGATTGACTGAGAATTTGTGGATCCGAGATCCGATTCGAGAATTGCAAACAAACAGATCGAGAAATTCGCTGAGATTAGGGCGCGACTTGTTGACAGTTTGCAGTCATGTGAAGTGGTTCAATTAGTGCAACAACAATAAGACAGAAAGAAACCGTGCTTGATTTACATAATTAACAAGTGGTGGAGTGCGAACGGAGATTTCGAAAACTCAGAGGTAGATTCTCCGAAGAATTATAAGCAAAGAACGAAGAACAAGCCGAGCAAGAATATCGAAATATATTCCGATAACGGAACTGCTCGTGGCGAAGACTCATTAAGTTTACATGCAGCGGATTGCATAACCAGAAGAGAAGATGATGCTCCACTTACGTCACTGGCCACTCGTGCTGGCCATCGCTTCCTGCTCAGCAGCAGCAGCAGCGGCAGCGACGACAACAACGACATCAACAACATCATCGTTATCCTCCATTCCGGGCAAATATCAGGCCTTGGGTGCAGCCCATCACCAGCCAAAGAAGCTGAAAATCGGAGCTGCCTCCTCCTCCTCCGCCTCATCTGCCACCTCCTCTGGGGATGGCAATGGCAACAAACCTGTATTCCGGCAAAATCCGATCAAGAATTGGTTCGGTGCCTTCAATCGCAATAATTCGCCGGCAGCTCAAAACCAAACGTCGCCGACATGTTCCTGCAGGTGAGTCCCAGTCCCAGTCCCAGTCCCCATCCCCCAGAGACACATTCTCGCATATGCTATGTGTGTGTGCTCATACCTACAGATGCAAAGATCTCAAGATCCAGAGATGCACGAAAGCTGTCATGGTCATGATGACAACTTCCAGTTAGACGGCCGGGTAGGTGATAAACCACTCTGGCGTTGTCATTGTCACGGCATACAAATGGCACAAACAGTTAAAGTTACAGATAGATTCGAGTGCCTGCAAGGAGGAGCACGCCATCGACGGGATATATCCATAGAGAAATCTATTCTAACTCACCTCAAAGTTAATTATAGGAAGCTGTCAATGGGAAACAAGCCTTAGAAATGAAAAGAAACCAATAGTTTGGATGGGAGTTTCTGTTAAAAGATCCCTACAATTAATATAAACCTTTAAGACAGCTGCTTAATTAATATTAAAAATAACAAATTGGGTTTTTCCTAAAGTCAGCATGACTAATATAATTTTAATATATATCTAAAGCCTCAGTCTAAACCCATTTCAACTTTCTAAAGAATCACTTGGCCATGGCTTTTATCAAACTAAATCATCTGTCCACTCCGTTTACGACTTCCTTAATTTCTGAACAAATGAAGCTGTTATTTTTTGTACATTTAAAATAAGAACAGCTCTTTATTTTAAATCGTTAAAGTTAAAGTTAATAATATTTCTATTTTTTGTAAACTTAAATTAACAACAGCTCTTTAAAGTTAATGGCTTCAAACCTCCTTACCCCCTTCTTTTTGGGTCCAAAAGATTCATTTGCCCATTTGTTAGCCGTTTTGAAATACCAATTCTCCGCGTGACCCCAAAAGTCAGGTTCTCTCTGAAGAATTGCACTCGAAAGGCATTTCTTATGTGGCCATTAAACAAATTGCATTGCCAATTGGGAATTGAACTTTGGCTTTCGGCACTTGGCTTTCAGCAGAGGCCAGTTCCCTGGGGTATTTATGGAGTCGGGAGTATAAATATAAATCAAAAGGAAGCGGATTCTTAAGGGAGTTAAAAGGGAGCTACTTCTATATGATAAAAATAGTATAACAATTGGAAATATATGGACACCAAGTTAAGTTATGTGAAGAAGTCTGTTGATCAGATATTAATTTATTTATTTTTTTATAGTAACTGATCGTAACATTCGCATAAAAGTATCTTGTTTCTTGTTTATTTATTTTTATTATATTTATTCCCATTTAGTTCTTCCCCCTATGCATCAAAATCTAGCCGTAAAATTAGTGGAACTTTATGTAGACGCAGCCAATTCTTCGATTTGTTAATGAAGGCCTAAAACCCGTTTTATTTCTATATATAATTTTTACTTTTTTCTTATTTGTTTTTCTTTCTTTCTTTTTTTGCATATGAAAGAACAAAAAAAGAAACTGATTTGCATACGATTTGATAACAGTCTCTGTTTGCCTTTCAGAACGTGCCTGTGTTTATACAGGAGATACAGATATACAGCTATAGATATAGATATATGTACATGTATAGTATATATCGGGGAAGGCAGATACTGTGGAAGGCGTACGCTCAATGCGTCATGTCATTTTAATGTGTGTGCGGGCGGCAGGGGAATGCCGTTGTGGCCGTTGTCTCTGGCTTCGACTTTGGCTTCAGCTTTTGGCCAGGCCGTCTCCGTCTCCTAAGTGGGTCGCCGTCGCACATTTTGCTTCTTTGTTTCGGGACGCCTCTCGACTGGCCTGGCCACCATTTTGGGGCAATGACACGATTAAACACACACAAAATCTGAATCCCAAATACTTGTTGCGGCCGAAACGATTGATTTTCTGGCCAAAATAAACACAGAGAGAGGGATAACCTGATGCGCTTCCTTTTGCGACCCAGTGGAAGAATTTTTAAGTTTTTTTTAGGCTGCATGTTGTGTCCGGAGGTAATTAAAAACCTGTTTAAAGTAAAGCGTTGTAGTCGTTGTGGGACAACCATAAAATCTGCAAAAATCGCTCATTTGTTTTATGTCCGTCGCATAAAACACTTCCAACATTTTCTTTGTGGCCGGGGTTGCTGACCTCTGAACTTGCCAATCGGTAGAGAAAGGCACCCTTGACCCATACCATTTATTTCTCGAACATGAACTTGTTAATGAGGTGGCCCAGCCAGTTTTTCTTTATTTTAGTTTATAATTTTATAATCTGTTGTACAGATATGTTAGAATATGACTTAAAATGAATGATAAAACTCTATAAAGTCAAATGATACCGAATTAAAATGTATAATTCCTCCTATGTTTCCCCTTCAGGTGCGGCGAACGCAACGACGAATCACGAATTGTGGGCGGAACGACAACGGGTGTAAGTGAATACCCCTGGATGGCCCGGCTAAGCTACTTCAATAGGTTCTACTGCGGCGGCACCCTGATCAATGATCGTTACGTGCTGACGGCGGCGCACTGCGTCAAGGGCTTCATGTGGTTCATGATCAAGGTCACCTTCGGGGAGCACGATCGCTGCAACGACAAGGAGCGCCCAGAGACGCGATTTGTGCTGCGCGCCTTTAGCCAGAAGTTCAGTTTCTCCAACTTTGACAATGATATTGCTTTGCTGCGTCTGAACGACCGCGTCCCCATCACCAGTTTCATCCGGCCAATCTGCCTGCCAAGGGTAGAGCAACGCCAGGACCTTTTCGTGGGCACCAAGGCCATTGCCACCGGCTGGGGCACGTTGAAGGAGGATGGCAAACCCTCATGCCTGCTGCAGGAGGTTGAGGTCCCCGTGCTGGACAACGACGAGTGCGTGGCCCAGACGAACTACACCCAGAAGATGATCACCAAGAACATGATGTGCTCGGGCTATCCGGGAGTTGGTGGGCGGGACAGCTGCCAGGGTGACTCCGGTGGTCCACTGGTGCGTCTTCGGCCCGATGACAAGCGCTTCGAGCAGATCGGCATCGTATCCTGGGGCAATGGCTGTGCCAGACCCAATTATCCGGGGGTGTATACCCGGGTGACGAAATACCTGGACTGGATCGTGGAGAATTCGCGGGATGGGTGCTTCTGCGACGAGGACTACTGAACGCGGGTGAGCGCGCTGGAAGCGGTGGACAATTCTTCGCCTTAGTTGTTAGTGAAAACCCTTAGTAGTTTAGCTCATATTTTGTACTTTTATACTAAAACTGAATAAAGTTAAACAATGCAGTAGGTTAGATATCCTATAAACAGCATTTTATATTTAAAATTTAATTGCGGGGTGATCTAAACTATGAGAAAAACTCTGCAAGATAATAAAAATCTTTAATTTTAATTTAAAATCAGAAAAAAGAGTAAAAAAAAAGCCGCCAAACGCGAACGTACTGCATAGCAGAGCAAGGTTTCGATCCTCGGACCTCTGGGTTATGGGCCCAGCACGCTTCCACTGCGCCACTCTGCTTGTATTCTACCCTGTGTCTAAAGCTGGTGAAACATAACGGCACCATAGCAGCAGAGAAGTTAACAGATATCGTGACTTACTGCTTGCAAGCAGTTCAACTTGCTGTTATTATTCTGTTAAATAGATTTATTCTCAGTGGGAGTGTTTCAGTCTCTATTTGCTTTGCATTGACGCTGAAAATCAAACGTTATCTTTCCGTTTTATCAGATATCTTTTTTTGTTTAAGAAAAACATTGTTATCTGAATTTTAAGACTAATTTTGATTATCAGCTAAAAAGGGTGTGGAAAGGGTTGCAAAAAATGAAAAAGATTCAATCTGTACGCTTTAATATGCATAAAATTCTATGGCAGCCAAAAATGTGTAACTATGTTTTTTTTTCAACCCCTTATAGTATAAGTACCTTTAGACACAACTTCGTCAACAAGCAGAGTGGCGCAGTGGAAGCGTGCTGGGCCCATAACCCAGAGGTCCGAGGATCGAAACCTTGCTCTGCTATGAGGTAAATTCGTGGCGTGCGAATTTTTTTATTACTAATTTTTTTATATTAATCTTAATTTAAGAATTCTTAAACAAGTTTTTGTACTAATAAGTGAGCTCTAATGGTGGAAGTCTGATTGGCAATAGTTGTTTTATCCCTTTCAAAGTATTTCTTTTGTAAATAAAAGCGTTTTAATTTAAAATTATATTTTAAATAATTAAACTAAAGCCTTTGAAGGTAAATTCAATTATTCTGTTAAGCGAAACATGTTTTATAATATCACTAAGAAATGTTTACGCTGTTTTCATCTTGTTTTTTTCATTTCTTTCTTTTATTTTAATGTCAGTAATTTCTTTTTAAAAGAAGATACAGCTGACAACTGTTGTTCGTTTGTCTGATAATTGCGCGGGTAACGAGGCACAGCCAAATCAATTGTGAGGCCCCATTGTCTGGGCCCATGAGAAGCAACAACCTTCAACCGCAACTTACTGCAGTTAGAAGCCAAGAGACTTTCAGCGGTTTGATGCGGCCCAAAAAGCAAATATCATTAGAAACACTAGCTAGGTAGTCAGTCGGCCGCAAACTGGTTTCTATCGAACAGCTGTAAATACAAGATGAACGGCGCTGCGGAGAGGACGATGGCGATGGAGATGGTGATGGGGGTCTTAAAAGTCAAACGTTAACTTGGCCAGTGGAACAGCACCGGTGGAGCACCGAAAAAAAGTTCAAATATTTGTATATGAAATTTAAATGTTTTACCTAATGAAACTTCCCGGAATTGCGGTCGAACGATAGCTGATATTCTTATCTATCTTCGTCTTTCACTCGCACTAATTGGTTAGTCATCAAGGTGATGATCACAGCTGAGATTCCACTTCAATTTCCACTTTCGCTTTAATTTCCACTTTTCATTTCACTTCCATTAATCTCCCGACCGACCGAACTCACGTGTGCCGCGGTGCGCCTTGCGTAATTATTCAAATTTGATATATTTTTGCATTGGCTTGAGATTCGCGCATCTCATAGATACATTTTCGAGTGCAAGCAACGGGTGGGCGGGCTGGGGCCTCCAGGTTTTGCGTTCGTTTCGAAATTTTCTTTTCAGCCGTCTATTTTTCGCGTCTGCGCTGCCAGCAGTTGTTGTTTACCGTTCGCCGCTCGGCCGCTCACTGAAAAAGCCGCCACGAAGCTCCCCGCGCACCCAAAGAAGCGCGGAGAGCACAAGATACGAGATACCAACGGAGGGTACAGAGCGGCTAAGATCTCGAGATTGTTTTGTTTCTCCGCGATCTTGGAGTTTTCATGCTCTTCAGCTAGCCGGCAGCCGGCAGCCGGCATCAATGAATTTTCTGTTTAATTTTTGGTGCATAGAGAAAAATTTAGACGAAATTGGTCACCAAATTGGAATTGTGATCAAAGGAAGCTATAAACACAATATTTTTGAAAAATACAAATTGTTGTGCACAGAAAATAGCAAATCCTGTTGAGTCAACGTATTCAGTGCTTTTACCATAGCGTACAGCATTTCACTTGAATAAGTTTTCCAAACAAAGTCTGAAATTTTACCTCCAAACCGAAACATATTTTCACCTACTAAAAATATATATTTTTCTTTTCTGAAAGCCATGGCTATTCATTCTTCTGTTTTGAAAGCCATGGATATGTTACATCACATGAAATTATATTTTAATGATGTTATTAATTTCTACATTGAACAAAAGAAAGGTGTCGATCGCTTAACCATTTTAGTTGTGGAGAATGAGATGCTGTTATTCGTACCATTTTTAATTAAATGGAAGAAACTAGTTGCCGACCTACGGGAAACCATATATTCGGCAATTGCCGATCTTAAAAGTAAGCATGGATACAAATAAAAATAGCTTAAGACATCGGCTAACCGAATCTTATATCTCAGATTCTAAGGAAGAATTAGAGAAGATTCAGAAAGAAATCGAATTTAATAATGGTAAGTATGGTGGTGAGTTCACGATGTTTGGTAACCAAGCATTTAATCCTAGCTTCTGAGGATAACATCCTAAAGGAGAGTAAGATAGACGATGTTGCTGCAGATGCCGGAGAGGACTCGCCACTTGGCGACGACTTTAACTTGGCCAAAGAAGACTAGTAAAAATGATTTCTTTGCGTTTTTGTAACATTTTGTAACATTTTTATGAAATATTGTGCTAAACATATTATTTTCTAGGGGTTTTTCGTTAATTGGTAGCATTAATCTAGCAGCCAGGTCTCCATCTTAAGGCTGCTAGGGCAGCAGCGTGGTGCGCGAGGACTGGTACAGATGTCCTTCTCGAAGTTGGTCTTGTGCACATTGTACTTCAGGGCGGGCGGGGCATCCGTGTTGGCCGCCTCCCCCGGTACAGCGGTCGCCGCCGCTTCGTCCTTGTCCTCCGCCTCCCCGCTCTCAAGGGAAGCATTGCAAGCAGTGCATTAGCGCAGACGCGAACCTTCAAGCAAAGAGAACTGCTTACTCCAACTGGACAAGCAGTGCCAAGAGAGAGAATTTTCCGCTAAGTTAACAGCACTACTCGGGCAGCCCTCGGCTTTCTCCGGCCAAAGGAATCATTTCCGACCCTATAAATCATATATATTCTTGATCAGCATCAACAGGAGAGCCAATCTAGCCATGTCGGAGCAAAAAAAAAAAATTATAAAATTTTTTTCGAAATTTCATAATTTGATAAGGGGTTACATCATTAAAATTTGCAAAAATGGGCCCAAAATTAAATTTTTTAAATTATTAAATTTATTATGCAGATTTGTTAGCCTAGTAAAAACTAACATGAAACTGTTTTCCGAATTGAAATTAAAGCATTTTTAGCTTAGTTATTAAATGTTAAAGCTTTAATTTTCATTAAAATTATCAATAACAAGAAAGAAAGCTAACTTCGGCACGCCGATGTTTGTATACCCTTGCAGATTGGTTTCGATGTTTATATTATAGATTTAAATGCTGAAAACACTCACAAAACAGAGTTTCATTAAATTTTACCTATACTTATTATGTTTACAGTTTGACAGTTTCAGTTTTACATTCCCAGCTTTACATATTCATGAAATTCAATTCGGAAAGCTGTTCTGAATTGGGATTTCTCCGCTTAACAAAACTGCTTACTCAGTTTTTCTTAAAAACTTACCTATAATTTAATTTAATTTTACATAGCTTTATTTCTTATATTTACAGCACTCCAATAACGAAAACGAGAGCGTGCGCAGGGATCTGGGAAGCACAAGTTCATCAAGTTCATTGTAATTGTTGATTGATGATCACCTGATCGGCAGAGGTGAAGCTGGAGGAGCGAGCAGCTGGGATGACAGATCTCAACCCGATGGCAGTGGAGGACGGTGATCGGATCTTGGCTCCGGACTAGTTAAAACCCTGCAGCAGGCGTAAATAATTAAAATATTTATAAATGCAATTTAAATATGTAAATGTAATTGATGGAACACACAAATATGAATCAAAAAAAGATGGTGAAATCAATGTGCAATTTTTTTGTGAAGGCGCAATTCTTCTAAATTTTTAAAAAATTGTTCTAAATGTTTAAAATTTTTCTGAATTGTAAAATTTTTTTTCTGAATTTTTAAAATTTTTTAGAATTTTTTTAGAATTAAACAATTTTTTTTTAAATATTTTAACTGCCAAATTTGAATTTGAATTTAACTGCCAAATTTGAATTTAACAACGATCAGTTTTAGTGTGCCCAGGTGCAGTTGTAAAATAACCCCTAAATTTGGATTCAAAAGGTTTGAGTCTACGCTAACTTGCGCCGGCTCCTAAGTGGTTTGGAACTTGGACATTTTATAACAGTTTATACCAGTTTTCAGCTGCTTGCTGCTGATTTCTGTTCGCCTGTTACCCCAATTTGGGAAACGGGCAATTTGCATGAAAATGTTCGGAAATTTGGATGGGCTGCTGTAGGGATGTTGTTGTAAAAAGGTTGTTGTTGCCATAAGCTGTTGTTGTCGGCAACAAATAGGTATAAATGCATAAAATGAAATATAACAGTTTATACCAATTATTATTTTTGCCCAAATGTTTTTATAACAGTTTATACCAGTTTTCAGTTGCTTGCTGCTGGTTTCTGTTCGCCTGTTACCTCAGTTTGGAAAGCGGCCAATTTGAATGAAAAGTTTTGCTCACTTCCATCAGTGATGCTCACTTCCATCAGTGATGCTCACTTCCATCAGTGATGCTCACTTCCATCAGTGATGCTCACTTCCATCAGTGATGCTCACTTCCTTCAGTGATGCTCACTTCCAGTGATGCTCATCTGCATCAGTGATGCTCATCTGCATCAGTGATGCTCATCTGCATCAGTGATGCTCATCTGCATCAGTGATGCTCATCTGGGACAAAATGGAATCTCACTAACTGCCAGTGATGCTCATCTAGCTATTTTGCATTATTGGGACAAAATGGAATCTCACTAACTGCCAGTGATGCTCATCTAGCTATTTTGCATTATTGGGACAAAATGCCATCTCACTAACTGCCAGTGATGCTCATCTAGCTATTTTGCATTATTGGGACAAAATGGCATCTCACTAACTACCAGTGATGCTCATCCAGCTATTATGCCGTATTGGAACAAAATGGCATCTCACTAACTGCCAGTGATGCTTATCTAGCTATTTTGCATTATTGGGACAAAATGGAATCTCACTAACTGCCAGTGATGCTCATCTAGCTATTTTGCATTATTGGGACAAAATGCCATCTCACTAACTGCCAGTGATGCTCATCTAGCTATTTTGCATTATTGGGACAAAATGGCATCTCACTAACTACCAGTGATGCTCATCCAGCTATTATGCCGTATTGGAACAAAATGGCATCTCACTAACTGACAGTGATGCTCATCTAGCTTTTTTGCATTATTGGGACAAAATGGCATCTCACTAACTGCCAGTGATGGTCATCTAGCTATTTTGCATTATTGGGACGAAAAGGCATCTACTAACTGCCAGTGAGCTCATCTAGCTATTTTGAATTTTTTGCATTTATTTCTCACTAACTGTCAGCGATGCTCATCTAGCTATTTTGCATTATTTAGGCAAAATGGCATCTCACTAACTGCCAGTGATGCTGATCTAGCAATTTTGCAATATTTGATGTTTTTTCCATTGTCCACCGCAAGGATGCCCTTCTATTGAGCCTGTTTAAATTATCCCACCCGAAAAAAAAACCGCATCCTCCTCATAAGTCAAAAATAACAAATTTTTAAAGGTTTTTTATTTACTTCAGCTTTAAATAAATAAAAGAAGAAAAGGTGAGGTATGTGGAAATGTCAGAGGTTGTGTCCAGTGGTTTCGGCTCGGTCTTGGTGGCACCCTCGTCGTGCTGCATCAGCACCTGGTCCGCTTCTGCTCCTCCTCGTTCTGATCCTCCTTGCCAACGTTCTCTGTCTCGCCATCGGCATCCGATGAGTTCCTGGCAGCTTCCTGCAATTAAATTTAAAAAGCTGCTTGCGAACTGCTTACTTCCAACTGGGCAAGCAGTGTCAAGAGAGAGATAGCATTTTCCGCCGAGTTGACAGCACTGCTCGATCTCTCGGCCAAAGGACTCATTTCCGATCCTGTAAATCATATATATTCTGATTCAGAATCAACAGGAGAGTCTATCTAGCCATGTCGGAACGAAAAAAAAATTATAAAATTTTTTTCGAAATTTCAAAAATTTGATAAGGGGTTAGTTACATCATTAAAATTTTCAAAAATGGGCCCAAAATTAAAATTTTTAAAATATTAAATTTAGTATGCAGATTTGTTAGCCTAATAAAAACTAACATAAAACTGTTTTCCGACTTGAAATTAAGGCATTTTTAGCTTAGTTAATAAATGTTAAAGCTTTAATTTTTATTAAAATTATCATTAAAAATTATGATATATTTAAATATTTAAAGTTTTATACCATTTTGGGGGCCAAACTTAAGAATATAACCGCTTCCTCTCCTTTCCTGTTAATATTTAAACAATAATAATAAAACACCATCCATAATTCATTGTTATTTTTTGTATTTTTTTCTTTTTCCATTTCATTTTAATACATACAATATAAAAACTGATAAAAAATCAAAAATAAATAAAATGCATTTGGGCTTAAACTGTGTGCTTTGTTTGTTTGTTGTTGTTTTCAGTTTGAAATGCGCTTACAAATGGCTTGCAAAGGTCTGTTGTCTACGAAGGATACAAAATTACAAAGAACAAAAGCTGTGGCTCGGACGCTTTCTCTATGGCCAAAAGTTAAACGTATATATAATAATTTTAGGCTTAGGCGTTATCAGTTAGAGTTAGACATTAGTTATTGCTGTTCGTGTTCGGGTGTGTTTTTTTTTTGTATATATAAATATAATACAAATTAAATATTGTATTTATGTGTCAATTCTAGGGGCTAAAGTGTTTATTTATAGTTAATTTTTGCTAAACGATCACATTGAACAGGCACTCACTCCGTGGCACTCGCACATTCATTCACACACTCGACGCTCCACTCACTCGCTCTCCGACTTACAAATTACAATTTCGCACTTAGATCTAGGGGGCATTGAGGGAGGGCGGGACACAGGGGCTCTTGGGGTCTTACTAAACTAGAATATGGGCTCGTTACGTATTCTCTCTCCTCAAAAACTTCTCTACTCTACGCTCCAAGTCAGGACGCCAAGAATTTCCAATTTCCAGATTTCAGCTCATGATTTTCACAAGCCTAATGTCAAGGATTCAAATATATAGCTTTTTTAATTCCTGGAGCCTGATTTACCTTTCTCATTTCGCGTTTTGATTGCTTCTTTCAAAAGTTTTTATAAAATTTTGGACTCGCATTTCGTATATATGGTAGGGTTTGTATGTTTCGTATGCTTGTAGTTCTGCTAATAACATTTCTTTTTTTGTTTTTTGCTTCACGGATGAATGACTGAGAGGTGTGGGTGGTGTAGGTGCAGGGGGGTTGCACTTCGCACGTTGGGTAATCACAGCAAATCGGCGCAGACGCCGCCGAACCACGCCATATACAGCGGCAGTAGGTAGACAACCAGAGCGCGACGCAGCGTCATCTTCTCCGGAGCGCTGGACGAACGATGATCATCGACCTCGTTATGGCCTTCATCCGAGTCCTCATCGTCGCCGCCGCCGCGCTGACCATGATCCTCCTCGATGGTGTTGTGGTCCTGGTCAAAGTGGGTGGTGTGAATCAAAGGATTCTTGTCATCCACTCCGCCCGTGGGCCGTGAGGTATGCGTGGGCACCTGCGGCCGGGCTCCATCCTCGTCGTCATCATTATCGGCATCCACTGTGGGACGATCAATGTCTGGCTTGTGGCTGGGTTCGAAAGGACCCAGACCAGAGCCATCGTCATCGTCCTCGTCGTCTTCGGAGCCGGAGCCAGAGCCAGCGCCACTGCCTGTATAGGGTTCTTCTACAAGAGGAAATATAATATAAGTAAAATGGTTATCAAAACCAAGGCTCTGGGTTAACTTACCCAGCTCAGTCCACTCTACATCCTGACCATTGTAGGCATTCCTTAGATGACTGATGGCATTCTTTAGATGAGCCAACTGCGAGGACATTTGAGCAGTTTGCTTAGTGCTGGCGGGATTGCCGCTAAACTCGGGATTAGAGCCATGCTCTGTGGTGATTGAGTGCATGTATCTGCAAGGAGAAATTGGGTTTAATAAAGCTGTTTCTATATATATCTATATCCCTTCTAACCTGTCAATGGTGTGACCATTCCAGCACATGCCATCTACATCAGAACTAGAGGCTATATCCTCATTGCTGCAGACCGAGTGCGGCAAGTTGGACCAGAACTTCTTGTAGTCCTTCACCCGCTGGCGTATATCCCTTACAATCCTGTCCAGGATAGGTTCTCGTCCACCGCCACTTTCGTTATCATCGTCATCGTTGTCGTCGCGGTTGTTCTGTTGCTTGCGTCGCTGTTGCTGCTGCTTGCGACGCTGCTGTTGTTGACGCCGGTTGTTGCCTCCGCCTCCTCCATTGCCACCACTGCCTCCTCCATTTCCATTGTTTCCTCCCCCATTTCCACCCTTTCCTGCTCCACCCTGTTCCTGCGACTGCTGACCCGAGCTCTCCTGGGAACCTGGCTCAGCTGCTCTGCGCTCTCTCAAAACTATGGCCTCATCCAGCATAGCATCAATGTCCAGGATGTCCGCCTCCACGGGACTCTTGGCATTGAGCACCTGGACGCCTTGCAGCTTGGGGTTAATGGAACGCTTCATTTTCTTGAGCTTGGGTCTGCCGCAGCCCTGGAACACGCGACTGGTAATGTCCTGGCCAGAATCCTACAAATAAATACAAAAATGTAACATTAGAAAAATGTGAAAGCTTTTGATGTGTAATAATATCTTTTAATTATTGTAGAAATTAGAAAGCTTGCTTTTAATTTTAGCTCTCAAAACCAGTTGCGCCACAATCAACAGCAATTCCATTCACACCCCGTCGAGTGTGTGGCTCCTTAATGGCTATTTATAGCTGCTTTTTATTGACCCATTCCGCAGATAAGAATTGATTTCGAGCGGCTACTCATTATGGGCCAACGGAGACCACTCGAGCGAGCAGAGACCTCTGGGAAGAGTCACCTCTCCTTATCAGCTCACCCATATCTTCCGTGTCAGTTCCCAACCGTTTACAGTTCCTCTAATTGCGGGGTTTGGGTCAGGGCAGGAGAGGAATAACTGTCGACCCCGGGCGAGTTGATGGCAATCATCAAAAGCGGTTTCTCGTCAAGAAGCTAATCAGAATTAAAATTGAATACTATTTCGCATTTTTGCATTTGTTTTCTGTTGGCCTTTTATGGGGCCGTCAGCACGGGCAAAAAGTAAACACATTAAAAGCCAAATGCCGCACAACAACAGCATCGGCGAAACACAAACAAAAACACTAGATATATGTAGATACAAACAGGCAAACAGAAGAACCAGCGGTTGAAAAAAGAAATGTATAAATTTTAAATGGAAATATAAATTAAATTCATATGCGAGCCAAATGTTGGGCAAATAAATCGTAAAAATGGCAAACAAAACAAAAGTCAAGCGATAGTTCCAACGAAATCGGGGAGCGGGAAAGACCAGCAAGGGTTTTGAAATATTGCAGTAATCAAAATTCAATAACTTATGGCCATCCGAGTGTAAATTATTCTTTAGCTTTCCATGTAAATATGTCAAGCATAAATATTTGTGTTAGTTTTGAGAGGAAATTTATGTGATTGAGGAGAAATGAATCAGCGAAAACTAAAAGGAATGATATATTCAAAGGATAAGAAGCTAAAAAATTATATTTTAAAAGGATTTAACATTCTAATAAGACGCTTAGATATATTAATTTCCTCTCCAAACTCCCAACTATTTTCTACTCCCTCCAATCCAATAATTCTTTAATTCTCCAGCTCCCAAAACTCCATAAATTTCTACCCAGACCATGACACCGACTTCTCCTATCAATTGCCACCATCTCTGAGCGGGTTTCCCCCAACTATTACTCTTTTCTCGGGGAGACTCGTTTAAAATGTATGCGAATTAAAGAACCAACACGCATATAAACCACTCGCACGCACTGACAGTTTTATGCGCTCATAACTTAGGCGTACCAGCTGCTGCTGGGCCCCCAAAAAACGAGTTACAAATTGCTATTGGTTTATGCTAATGCTAATGATATAATTTATAAATTTTAAATATTTTCACTCACCTGGAAGTTCATGATGGCCTCGGAGATCTTAATGTTGAGGGGCTCCACCACCATCACAATGTTAAAGGATCCTAGAAGGCGCTCGGCCACCTTGTCCATGGCCAAGGCAAAGTTCTCCCACTCGGAATCGAACTCGTGCTGGTAATGGAGGCAACCCTTGATCACATTCACGCAGTAGTTGGTGCAGGGCTTTTCCGTGTAGCCTTTGCAGGCGCCGCAGTGCTGCATCTTGGTCAGGGCACCCGTGCAGTCGGCATTTAAACGCACCTGGAAAATAAATTAAAAATTAAAGTAAAAGCTAAGAGAGATTAAAATTTAGTTACTTACATTCAAGACCTTCTTGGCCACCTCAGAGGCCGTGGCCAAGGCCTGACCATAGGTCCTAGTGGCCACAAAAGAGCGCTTGATCTGGACGGAGAGCTTGTCTGGAACATCTCCGAAAGGCTTCAGCTCCTTCATGTGCTCGCTGACGCATCGCATGTAGCTGAAAAAGAGGGGAAAACAAAATAAGTACGGAATGTTTTGGGAAAAATATTTTCATTAATTTTTCATTGAGTGTGCGGTGGCGGAAATCTCCGCTTGTAAATGGTACGGCTCAACGCCTTTGCTATGCCTTGCCTTCGACTTTAGAGCATTCTCCTCTCTGCGGAGCAACAGCTAAAATTTTTATGCGGAAAAGTCATAAAAATAGTTGCTGCTCCAGCCATGTGCTGTTGCAGTGGCAGCTCCCAATAGCACCTCTGTGGCAGAGTGTGTATGCTCCGACTTGGCCATCAGGCATGACAGTCATTGCACTTGTACGGCTGCCCTCGGCCTTATGGTCAAGAAGTCGCCGGTAAGAGTCACCACCACTAGCAGCAGCAGCAGTTGTTGCCTCTGTTGTTGGCAGTTGGCAGTTTGGCCCCCTCTACTTAGGCTAAACAATTTAGAAATTACTGCAAGTTGCATTCGCCGAGGTGACAGATCAGTGAAGCGGCAGCACCAGCTGCTGTAGCTCCTTGATGGGAGGGCAGGTTGAGGAGTTTGAAATGAGGGGATTATCGGAGTCTTAAAAGGTATTTAGTAAACTAAAAAAAGTAGTAAATACTCTACTCTATCTCTCTTTTTTTTGCTGTAATTACAATAATACCTTGAAAAATAGTAGTAAAGTAATACTTCCTAAATAAACATCCTTGTGAGCTTCTACAGGAGCTCCTATATGTATCCCCTTGGCACGATATCCGTTCCTTTATGTGCCATTCCATTTGTCGCTTCATATTTTGGCCATATCGCATATCAAAGTTATGCCCAAACAACGACACCCGTTGATTTCCCATAGTTTTCCCCTCACCTCACCGAAAACTAACTGCTTGAGCTACCCCCTCATTGAGCGAGCAGGAGAGCCCCTTAGCTCCAAGTCCAGCTGGAACTGGGGGGCTCTGCCATGAGGCATGTGATCCATTCTGATGGCAAAACCAGCGCCGTTCAAGCGACCGACCAACCGCACAGAGCAAACATCAGCCGCAAACAAATAAGAGGGGGTAAAACACTGGGGAAAATTCATAAATAAAATGATTCTTAATTTGATTTTGATAATAAAATATAATAGGAGATTCTTATAACTCTTTTAAATACATTTAATAATAATACTAATTTATGTATTTTTAACATCATAGCTCTTTCTCATCCCGCAATTTGTTTTTAAGTTTATACCCTATTTTCTCTGAGTGCAAAAGAGGCCGGGGTACCGGGCAAGAGGCAGCAATTACGCGACATCGTTGTTGTCGTTGCTGCCGCCGCCGCTGTCCAATGGCAATAAACGGACGACGTGCCAAAGCACGTACGACAAACTAAAACGATGACAATAAAAGCGAATCTCTGGAGTTGAACTTCGAGTCGGAGATGGAGATGGAGCCAAGTCAGCAGCGGGGCATCAATTGAAGGAAAGCGCGTGGGTAACACGAGCCCAGCCCAAAGGGGGGGAGCTACAAGGAGGTGGGCCAGGAGAACAGCCCAGGACAGGCGACCGACCAAAAGTCATTTGGCCAAGTCGTCGTCGTCGTCGCCGGTTACCGGAGACTTCCCCGTTCCAGGGCAATGAGCCAAGTGGGCGCAATTTTCGCTCTATGCCATTCATTTTTGTGCGGAAATGCGAGCAGCTGACACAGGAACTGGCATAAAGTGCGGTTTTTGGTTTTGGCTGCGTTATGAGATTGGATTGGCTTGGCAAGGGGAGTTGCTGTGGCCAGGCATAGGTGGTGGTGGTGGGTTATATGGGATTGGGATGAATAAATCGTTGGCGGAAATAAGGTAGTAGGTGGTATAATATAGTGGGTTGTGAGGAGATGGATATAGGTTGACTTCTATGAAGATTTTGAGACTGAGATAGAAGTTCATTGAGATACTTTGATAGGTTCCTGTGTATAAAAGATCATGATAAGGATTTCTAATTATCAAAAGATTATAGGGTTTTAGATTATAAATGGTATTATGATGTAGATTCATCTTTTAGTTTCCTACATATTCTTTATCCTTTCTTTTTCATCTCTAAAGAGTATTTCCCTAGTCGCCTAATAACTTCTCCTCAACTCCTTATTTCCTCATCTCTGTAATCGTTTCAACCGCAATCAAAAAATCTAGCAAAAACCAGAGCAACTTTAGAGCTCTCTATAGGATATATGTTAGGTAATCGTATATAGGAATCGTTAACTGAAATCGTATACAGGCCGTGTCAAAGTTTCGACCGCCAGTCAAGTCAGAGACAGACTCAGCAGAGACACTTTGCGGTTTCACACGTTTTGTCTTTAGCTTTAGACCTCTAAAATCGGATTCGCTTGGAAGTTTCGGTCTCGATTACGTCTAGATTGGGTTACTTACTTCTCGTCAAAGGTATACTGCGTGTTCAGCACGGTGAACATCTTCTGGTACAGCGTGTTGAAGAACTTATCCATGACCTCCAGTAGATCCACTCGCCCGTTGGCAAAGTACGTCTCCAGCTCCTTGAACAGATCGGAAAAGACATACGAATTTCGCTCATAGATCACGCCATAGGTACGAATGAACATGCTGTTGAACTGCGTCCTGGACTCTTTCAGCAAAGCGGTGAAGATTTCTGCAAAACAGGGGAAGCCTCTAATTAGTTAAGGAATTTTCACAGAGTTGGGGTTTACATCCGCTACAATTAGAGTTTGTTTAGAGTTTGATTTTATTTCTGGCCTGCATCCGCTTCAATGGCAAAAATACTCAACGAACTCATTGCCACATCCGCATTGTCGCGGTAGTCACTTGCCACTTGACATTGTCTGTAACTCGAGGCCCGCATCATCATCATTGTCATCATCTGTATCTTGATCTGGAATCTATAGCTCAAATCTGGCGGGCAGAACCACTTGACACTCCACAAAAAAAAAAGAAAATCCCAAATCGTTGGCTTCTGTGACATCTTCAAGTGGATCGTTGACGTAACCTACCTTTGAACTTGGTGGCCTTGCTGCCTAGGATGCCCGACATCCTAGAGATGTGGTCCTTGGTATGACTCTCGAGCTGCTGGCGGGACTGCATGGCCATTCGGGTCTCCATGCCGTAGGTGCAGCAGGTGCCTACCGAGGGTGATTCACAGTAACGGAGGACGCGTTCTGTAAAAGAGAAAATATTAAAGAAATTATTAGATAAGGGATCTTAATGCTTATTAACTAAGGAATTTTAAGTATGTTTAAAAAATCTAATAAATGTAGCTACATTAAAAATTATTATCTAGACAATTTCGTAACGTTTTTTATATAAATTTTTCTTAACCTGTGACTTTTTCTTTATCTCAAAGCATGTTTTAGCTTTTCTTCTCTAGTTCTACTTAGCATTTACTTAACAACTTTTCAAGTTACAACTATGTACAATCTGTTTTTCTCAACTAAAATTTGTTTTCTTAAACTTTAGACCCATTTTCCAGATCTAGTCTAACGATGCAACAAGGCAGCCATCTCTATCCACTTCCACATTCCGGGAACTCACACACTGTGCCGCTCAGAAGTGCAACTTGCCACTTGACATGGTAACCAAATACCAAATTCTGAATACCAAACAGTGAAAACCAAAGCCTAAACAGCTAACAGCGATTCATTGGAAAAAATACAAAAAACAAACGAAGCGCGGCTACCGGCGAATGCAAGTAACCCGAAACAGAACCTGAAACCAGACTCAAACTCCAACTCAAACCTAAAACCGAGCTGGGATACGGGCGTGGCAGTAGCTGGAGAAGAGGCTGGCTGGCTGGAGAGTTCCCATTCTCTGGCCGACTGTTTTATTTACGCAAACATTTAACACATTTTTTGAGAGAAAATTAGAGGAAAATATGCATTGGTTCCCTGCAACGACTACCTCTATTTTCCCCCTCAGCTTTATGTGAGGTTTTTTTATAGACGCTCTGTGTTCCGTGTTTATTTAGATAATTCTCGGGGCCAGATCGACGAGCCGAAAGTTCGGCACTAATTGAAAGCAAACAAGTTGGAAGTTCTTTTTTTTCAGTTCAGTTCGTTTCGTTTCGAATCTAAATCCGAATTTTTGTATTTATATTTTGTTCGTTTTTTGTGCGCTCATAAATTGCCGCTGCCCAGTTAAATGCATCATCTGCTGTGCACACTCACACACATACCGGGCAGTATATGGAGTGTTGCTCCGTTTGTTTATTTCCCTTATAAATTTAGATACTTTAGTGCACATTTTTTCGACGGCCGAATGTAAACAGAGTTTACTTCCATCGAGTCCCCCCACAATTTTCCCCAACTTCCTCCTTTTATTGTCTGTGCTCGACTGCTCCGCTTTATGGCCTCTACTAATTGTTATGTTGCACAAGATATGAATTGAGTGTGGCGCACAGATAGAGCTTCGAATGGGGAGTAGTCGCGCAGTCCTGCGAGTCCTGTTTCCCCAGATCCTGGGGCTTATCTAAATTGGCCCACAGTCTGTGTGGTTTCCCTTTTTAATTGTCTGTCGCGGGGGGCGACTATGTGACTGGCATGGCAACTGTTTTGGCTCGGATTTGTGGTTCTGAAGACCATTTGAGTTAATTGAAATTGTGGCAGATAAAAGGGCTTAAGATTTGATACGGGACAAGGGATAGAGATCACACTGAGCAGATAATTGAAATATGGAATAAATAAGTGGAGATTATAGTGGGAAATGGGTTTATATTTTGAGGATTTTGACAAGAGGGAGATATATTATTTTGAGTGAGATATATATTTTATTTGGAATGCTTTAATTGTTAAGAAACTTATTTTTTTATTAGTCAAAACCACTTTAAAATTGATAAATAAATTGTAATAAAATTTTATAACTCATATTAAATAAGTAATAAGTTCCCTTAATATCTATAAATACCCATAAAACAACCATATTTCGCTTTTCAATCAGGCCATCATCAGTCCATAAACTTTTCCCCCCAAAAACCCCACAGGACCATAATTCCTACACCTTAGCCAAAGTATAAAAAATCCATTAAAATGCCACGCAAAATGACAGCCATAAACAAAAACCCAACACACATAGCAGCCATAGAGCTCGGTTTGGATTGGTTTGGTCACCCCTTCTTGGCGGTTCCTGGATCTAATCGATAGACCGTAGCTAAAATCTATGTTAAAATAACATAACGGCATTAAAGTAACGGCAATGGGGATTCTTCTGCCAGCCATTTTTATGAATTGCTGCATAATTTTGCCCTGCTGGCTGGCAGACAACAATGGGAAGTGGGAAATGGAAAATGTGGGGGAAAACAGCAGCAGCAGCGGGGGATCCCAGATAACAAATGTTGCCAGGCGGCAGAGGCGATGGCCGGGGGGAATCACCCAAAAAGGAAGCCCAACCGGCGAAGGATGGAAGGTGTCATGAGCATAATAAATGACCTCAACTTACCGATATGCCGCCACACAGAGCCAGTTTCCCTTTTTATTATAGCTGACGCTGTGAAAATCACCCCGTTGTCTAATAGAAAACTTTGGCAGCAAGCAAAAAAATACAAGTAACCGAAAAACCACCCAGGAAAAGCGTAAGGTTTGGGAGCAACAAACACCACCCATCCCCTGTGGGTGAGCCGGTCACATGTTTTCCCATTTCCACGCGCAATCCACTTAGTTACCAGGAGGGTGGCAACGGGCCAGGGAAAACTGCGATTAAACACTGAGGGAAAGAGTGGTATTTAAGCTTCCAAATTAAATTATAAGAAAGGAAAAAAAGGATTGAATCGTGAGGAAAAGTGTTTTAATTAAGGGGGGGGGTAAGGTTAATTCGGTGCAAAAATGCCCACTTTTCAAAAAAATGTTGTGGCGAAACGGCTAAAGCTAGCTTAACGAATTAAATACCATATAATAACACAACATTTGAACAGTTTGTGATAAATTTTGTATTGAAAAATATTTAGAGGTAGAGGAGTTATAGGGAATCTCCCGAGTCGCCTCCAAAAAAGTTGGTTTGCGGTGTACATCCTAACTGTCCACAGAATCATCCGATCTACAAAAATTATACCTCATTCGTTAAAGGATAAGTGTCCCGAGGTATTCTCGAAGCGTTTTTATTTTTAAAATTTTTTCCCTATTTTTTATCAAAATTTGAAGTCAAAACCTCGATTTTTGACTAAAAAATTAAGTAAATTTGTTAAATAAAAAATATAAGAAAATTAAAAATTAAAAAAAGCTCGACGAGAATACCTGTAGAATTATCTAAAGAAGTTATGTTCCAAATTTCAAACCGATTGGTTCAGTATATTTTTAGTTATCGTGTACACCGATTTTCAAAATGGCATTTTTCAGGAGAGCGCTTTAAACTTTGTGATTCTCATGCATTGAACACCAGACGACCTTCGTTCAACTCCGCATAACTTCGTCAATTTTACTTTGATTGATGTAAAACTTGGACACAATATTCTTAAGATATTGAACTTTTAAAATAAAAAATAAAAAAAAATTTACGAAAAAAAAAATTAAATACCTTACCCCCCCCTTAAGATAGAAAATGAAGTGAAAATTTGGAAAACATAAATCCATATATCATGCATAATTAATATTCTTTAAATCAAGTTTTTAATATTTTTATTATAAAGATTACTGTGTTATCAAGTTTACCTAACATTTTCTATATTTTTTTTAAATAATAAAAATTATTAAAAATTTCAAGATAATATATAGCATAATTTTCTACATTTTTTTCTCTACGTGCAGGACTACCCATCAAGTGGAAGTGAAATTTCATTTCAAATGATTTACTGTAACGATCAACAAACGCAGGACTTGCCCCAGACAAACGACGACGACCAGGATGAGGACGAGCACGAGGACGACGAGTCAACCCCCTAAGGGCGTCGCTTAAAAGGGTGCGAAAGTTTAGCAGGCGTAACGCAGTCAATATGCAGCATAGTATATAGTATATATCCCGCATATCCAGCAGCGATAAGTTCGGGGTGAGTGGGGAACGGGAGCTCAGAATCCCTCAGTAGGCGGACATTTCTCCCAAGGTTAACTTTAAGCTTATCGCCACCGTCGCCTATCTCTCGGGCGAAGGACTCTTAAAGAGTGCGAAAAGTTGCCCCTAACCGGGATGCTCAACAGGATGCTTGACACGGAAACCCGGCTGGGAAACTGCACCCTCGTCGTAGTTTTCGTAAACAAAGAAACCGAAACTGACGGTGTGTTTACCATGGGTGTGTGGGGTTTTTTGTGTTAAGATATGGAATTTTAATTGCGGAAGTAGTTTGCGAGATGAGCAAGGACTATCGTTACATTTTTTAAAATTATTTTTAAATTAAAGAAACTTGATTTGAAACTGAAGAGTAATTGTAATAAATAAAAAACTTAATTAAGAGGAATTTTTAAGAGTTTTAATTATGATAAAATCACATTAATAATCATACTAGACATCTTTTTAATTTTTAAATATTTTTTAAACTTTAATATTATTAATTCTATTAGTTATTATTTATAAGAAAACCTACTTTAGGAAGTGTAAAGTAATTTATTACTCTCAAAAAATATTGAATTAGTTTCTAGAAACATTAAATTCTCTCTTATCTGCACTTTAAACATCTAATAAAATATTTAGTTATCATCAATAAATACACTTATGCTGCATATGTACTATATATGCATTTTCCGCTGCACAACTCCTGCCGGAAATGTCCCACTTCCATTTCCCAGGCCCGCACACTTGTGCATTCAAAGTTTTTCCACCCCCACCACACTCTCTCACTCGTTCTCCTTCTCTCTTTCTCTTTTTGTCCCTATCTACTCTTTGTGCTCCACTTGGAGATGAAAAGCGCAGAAAACAACAAAAACACACATTTGAAACGGTTGTTGTGCGAGTGGAAAACCAAAAACCAAAACCAAAACCGGCAAAAAGGCAACAAAAAACACAACAGTTGCAGACAGGACAAAAGGCAGACGCCAAAAACTAAAACTCAACCACCCGGTTGCCACCCCTTCATTCACCTTTTCATATCTGGGCATTATCAATGGTCGGAAAATGCAGGGAAAACTTTACTTTTGAGTCGAGTTTCAATGGCCACTACAAAAAGCGAAGAGGAGAGCGCCAGCGGAGAGAGAGAAGGATTCTATTCTCACTCATCGCTTCGTCCTTTTTGACGAGGCACAAA